TGCCTCATTAATAGGAATAGTACAAGTTAGATGTGCTCTGTTTTGCAATCAGGTCAATTTTGGGGCATATGCTCTGTTTTGTAATCCAGTCATAGGCAGTGCAAGTCATTTTGGTGCATCCATTCCCGAACATTAGCAGTAATGGGCTTTCAAATGTGTTCATTATTAATAAGGGTATTTTTAAAAAGTGTATAATCTTGGAAGCAAACAGAAATGCTAAAGGGATCTTGCGCTAACATCAAAGCTGTAGTAGACTTCAAACAATATCATAACATAGTTCCAAGATCAGGGCAGCTTTGCTCCTTAATGGAATTTGTAAGATAAACCAGTATATAATAAATCTTCTGTCTGAGTGTTCTCTGACTTTGCAAATATGTTGTTAGCTCAGTAAATTTTACTACAGTCTTGTTTAAAAATTATGATAGGTAAGGGTTTTTTTCTCTTCAACATATGCATTTTTGATGTAAACAAAAATGTCACCTGTAAACAGATCACTAAGGAAGAAGAAGGAAGATGATTGCTATTTATATGTATGAAAGCAAAAGAATTTGAAATCCTGCTAAATCCTTGAGCTTGCTGCCAGATCTGAGCTTTGAGTGAAATTTTGTTGCCTACATTTGTAACAGCTTATGAATTTAATTTTTTCAAGTTTCTGCTTCTAGCTGGCACTAGAAAAATAAGTGTTTTCTTTGGGAGTTTGGTTAGTTTTTTTGCTTAGGAGTTAAGATTATTTCAAGTACATTGCTTTTTACTTCTTTGGAGAGAACCTGGCTGTTCCCTGATGGGTGCAGAGGGGTGAAAATATAGATAAATACTTGTTTCCCTCTCCCTTATAGGAGACCTGCAAAGAAAAAGAAATAGAAGTCGTTAATCTACCTTGTTCAGAGAGAACATTAAATCAGCACAGCATGGCACAGCATAGTATTGTCCTTGGATTATTCATGATGACTGTTTTATCACTGTTGGATGGAAGTTCAACTTTCCTGTTAAATCAACGTCTGAAGGGAAGATTTCAAAGAGACCGTAGAAACATCCGCCCAAACATCATCCTTGTTCTTACTGATGATCAGGATGTAGAACTTGGTAAGAGCTCAGTATAAAGAGAATTTTGGCCAATGTGTATGACATTGCTCTTTCTTGAAGCTAGATTCTTACATTCAAAATAAGAATTTTTTTTCAGTGTGAAAAATGATAAGAAGAACAAGTTTATACCTGGCTTTATATAGAACATCCTTTCCATCTGCCTGCAATTCAGGGACAGCAAAAATTAGTCCCAAAATGTTAAAGTTCCTGTTCCTGTGGAAATACACAGTTCATGCCTGTCTTCATCTAAACACCTAAACTTTGCTTCTGGCAATTGCAGGCATAACTTGGGAAGCTGCATGCCAAAACAGTAGGTTTAAATTCATAACTGATAATTGCACCATGTAATTATCCAAATTCTTTTGTGTAATTGCAGGCATTCATTACATATACAATTTTCATGTTATTTACTTAAATGTTACCTAACACAGTCATACTATTCTTCTAATCGTCCATTTAGATGTGTAGTTGAATACTGACCAAAATGACACAGAATGAAAAGATCTAATCTGTTATCAACGCTATGTTAATTGTTGAAGAAAGGAGATGAAGATTAAACACATGCTTTGCCTAATGATTTGGAACAATGAATTAACCTGCAGTTTGGCTTTTGTTGTGCTACCTGAACAAGCTTGTATTTACCAACTGCTCTCTTTAGTTTTGAGAAGTGTTTAACACAAACAAGTTAACATTAATAATTTTGCATTAGAATTATACTCTCATATGTGTCTGAAGCCTCAGTCATCTGAAAAATGAGAACTCTTGTATGTGTCATCTGGTGTGGGAGTTTTGCCCCCAAATTTTTCTGCATCTGATTTCTAGTATTGCTAGGAAAATTTGGAAAACAGACCTCACAAAAGAAATAGAACATAAAATTAATCAACTTGTACTTCTCATGCACTTACTCATCTTGTTGAGAAGTTAATCACAGCAATGTTGCAGTCTTTGTACAGATGCTTCCTTTGTATCAATTTTACTGTATGTCTGCAGTATCATAGATGTCACATTCTTCTTCAAGGTGGTAAGAAAGCTATACTATGGAAGTAATCTCATAAAATTAAATGGTATTCAAATTATCAGGATCAGATGATGTTGTTGTCACCTTTTTTTAATGATTACTTGGATCAGAAATGAAGCAATTTCAAGAATCTATATCCCAAAGAACCTAAGTACATTTTCTTGCAGGCTTGGAAGGTGGTCCTAAAAAAGGTATAATCTTCTATTTTATGCTAGCCTTTGTGTTTCTGATGCAATTGTGTAAGTCCTTTGGGCAGTATATTTCATTTCTCTGCTAACTAGATGCTTTCCAATTTCAAGGATAATGGGCATGTGTCCACGCAAATTAGGATCTAACTAAGGAACATCCATTTGATGAAGCTGAGATTAGGTATTCGTCATTTGCCATTAATGGCTTTGGGTGATGCAGTATTTGTGTGAATTTTTATTCTTGTCTGTTCAGCTGTCCAAGTTAAGCAAAATTACCAATTGGGGTGATTGTAGTTAGTGCATTTAAGCAAGATTAAAACAAGATGTGAATTACAAATAAAGCTAAGGAAAAGTTGGAAGCTGTGAAAGCATAGCAGGGAAAGCTGTAGGTAAGATTTCATCTGTTTCTAAGAATATTCTGTAACTGATGGGTGTTTTAGCTGTCATTGTTCTCTTGCAGCTACTTTGGAGGTGAAAGGGAATAGAATGCAATCTCAAGTGCCTTTAACAGCATTTCCTTTATTTATTTAAAGATAGATTTAGCAATGTGCCAGTAGCAGGTGGAGCTTACCAGAAAGACAGTGTTGTCCTTTCCTGAAAGGAGATTGTGGTGGGTTTTTTTGTTTTGATTTTTTGTGGGTGTTTTTGTTTTGTTTTGTTTTCATTTTTTAAATTTGCAGTACTGTTAATCATGAGTTTTACTGGAAACCAAACCTCAGCCTTATATTGAAAGAAGGAGAATACTGATGAAGGACTGGTTGATCAAATGCAGAATCTCTGAAGGACATCAAAGGAGAATGAGTGTAGATTGTAATGGATACAAATGGGAGAAGACAAATGAGAATGCCAAGAACTGTGGACATAGACATATTTGATAGACTGTCTAATCAAAAGACTTGTATTGACAAGCATAGTATAAAGAAGAGGAATATAGTGACAAGGAGTAATTAATTAGAAACAAAGACTTTTTTCCCCTACTAGAGCCATGTACAACCGAGTTAGTATAATGTTGATGTCCCCTTTGTGGTAGACTCAGTATCTCCAGTTGAGTTAGATTTTCCTACCATACTGCTATGGCTTTAACAAACCAGCTCATTTAATAGTCTAGTTGGAGAAAGATCTGATTATTTAGGATCTATTTCAACCACATTAAAGAAATCTGTGTTAGAGGTGATTTGTATGTTTTGAGACCTTCCTCTGAAAAGCTACAAAGCTTTATCATGGAAGATAATTTTTTCTTAGTTATCGTATGTGGAGATGGGGTTATAGAGCTTTGTTAAATGTAAGGGTGTCTTGGGGAGGGAAATGAAGAAAAGGAAATGAAGATGTGGAAAGGGTGTTTAATGAATTTTAAATACAATAAAAATAGAAGTATTTAGGAGACAGTTAATTAAAATTCTGGGGTTCAGTTTATTGGAAAACACTTCTGAAGTTGTGCTTCAGAATAGACAAATCACTTGATACTTAATACAAGTTCTTCAACAGTTGGAGCTCCATAAAATCTAAATTATTCCCTCCTTCAACAAAACACAACTAATATGAAGTCAGTATTTTTTCATAAATAATTTGTATATTTTCTCCATTAATATTATAGTCAAAATATCAGCTTTGTCCCTGAGGTGAACTGTGAAGATAAGCTAAGCAAAGTTATGGAAAGCACACATTTCAAGTGACATTTTAACATCAAGTTCGCTTAGCTTTGTTCACTGAGTAACTTTAACACTTCAAATTGATTGAACATCCATATTTTCATTTCCCATTTTCATAGTAGTCCAATGAAAATTTTCTTAAAATGGTGTAGGAATTTCACTTTCAACTGCTAGATTTTTTTTTATTATCAGTGGTTTTTAGATGGGTAGCAACATTTTCTGAATTAAATATTGACACTTTGAAAGCATGACTTCCGGTCATATATCCACTGGTGAAACCTCAGAAGGTTTTCTAGCTCAGAAGGTGACATGGTGAAGTCCCAGTTGCTGATTTACACATAAGTTATCTGCCAGAGAATGGATGTCTGTGTATTGGAGGCAAACTGAAGAAGATAAGTTTTAGTTGGCTGGTTTAATGCTATTTAAAATATTTAGAGCTGGCCTATTTAAGATTATACAGAAGAGTATGCTGGATTTTTACCTTGCACTGCCCTGTCACTCTGTATTAGTTCTCAAAATGAAGAAGCGGATTAGATCATATGCTTTTTGTGTCAAAGACTGTTGATATATAGGGCGTTGTCATTACAGCGATACAGCTTCTTTTATTAAAGAAGCTTACTGTCCCCAAGGGGAGTCTTAACATGTACTGCTATTTATGCATAAATGCCTCTGTCATTTAAAGGGGTTGTTAAATTTTATTTTAATATTGGGATGGCAAAACATTTTTTCAGACTTCCTGTTTATGCTTGGGCTAGCTCATAAGACAACACAGAGGACACATCCACAGTTTTCAAGCTCACATATTGTATAATTAGCTGTTATATTTGTTAACTGTAGTCAGTACCTTTAAGCACTAACACGTAACCCACATCTGTTATAGAAACAAAAGAGTAAAATCTTGCTTTCTTCAGAAACTCATTTTTGATATGTGAAGTTTAGCAAGTTCTAAGGGGGCAGTGCAATAACCTGCCTTAGTTTTTGTCACAAAGTGATGTGACATATTTTCTGACCTGAGAAATGCACAAAGAGATTTTTTTTTGTCGTTTTTTTTTTTAATACTCATTCCAACAAAATGGTCTCAAACTAATGCCATGGCAGTTCTTAGGTAAAATTACCTACCATAGCAATTAACCTTCCTCTGTGGTGCCAGAGAGTCAGATTTTCTATGTGGCTTAGGACCATTTTCCCTCTAGGTTTTGACTCCTGGTTATATCAATGTGCTCTGTATCAACCAACTTGATGTTGCAATTTCATGATGAAATCCCTGCATAAAGAGCTTAGAAGAAACCCAAATCCATTATTGACAGAAACAATGTAGTTTGTGCCAGATGGTTGTAGGATGCAACCATCAGCCTTGATTAAAGCTGAGCTGTTAATCCAACTCAGCCTTGAGCAAGTTAACCTCAACCCTATTCTAGCATGAGCCCATACCTTCCTCTCCATGTTGTCAATTGGCTTTCTATGCTCATAACAAAAACCCTCGTTGGTGATGAACAGGTTTTATCTCCTCTGCAAGGTCATGCTGTTGATATGTACCATGAAAAATTCTTTAGAAAATTGAAATTCTTCCCAGATCAAGAAAATTTTCTCTAACTTGCTCAGTTTTAACTATTAGGCACTGATAGAGGAGGGAAACTACATTTCTTATTTCTCTGATGCTTGGTGTTTCTGGGTTTAGGAAGAGTGCTGATATGGATCCAGATATAGCTAAATGGATGTCTATGGTAAAGATCCAGTCTTTGAACAAAACCTTGTCTTAAATAAACAGAAAAAAAAAACCATTTGGCAGCACTGTGGCATTCAGTAATTGTGGTCAAAAATACTTTTGTTCATGTTACCCCAATTAATCCAAGTCCCTTGCTATTTGTTTTGTTATATAAAACATAGTGTTACCTGCCCCAAGTAGTCATCTAAAAATCTGATTCTGCAGAATCAAGCTTAAGAAAATGTAGATAGTAAGATTGTAACCAGAATGGATGAAGCACATAGCTAGAACTCAGTGAACTCGTTATGGAAATTATTATGGGAGGTTTTTGGTGTCTGGTTCAGTGATAATTAGAGAAAGCAATACCTCCTAATACCTCACATTAGGGAATAGAATGATTTAACTACACAACAACTCCAGCAGACCTTTCTTGAGCAGTAGTTTGGACTAAATAGTCTTCCGAATGAAATGATTCCGTGTTTACAACCCTCAGCCTTTTGCATGAGGCTGGCACAAAAGGTAGCATATTAGGTTTCTTGTGAAACCAAAGATTAAATAACTCTTACGAGTATGTATGCTTTGATCAGGGTTGCTGCATAAAGTGCTTTTCATCCTCAGCTGCTGGAACAGTACTAGCAGCTCCAGAAAGGATGTAGAGATGCTGCTGATAGTTACGGTTGCAAATCTCTCTAGCGAGAGAGAAATGAAAGAAGCATTATGATCTATGTCAACATGCTTGAGTCAAATCTTTACTTAGGACTTCAGTATTTAGTCCTTACTGAAACTATGGGAGAGCTTCACTGAGGCAGGATCAGTAATCTCTCTGGATTTGGGTTCACTCAGAGATAACAGTGCCCTTACTGCTTGTGCTTCCTTCTGGTCTCTAATGCGGCATCTGAGCTCTTGTGACTAAGAAAATATTTCTGAAATGTTTTCCCTCTTTCAGGTTCTATGCAAGTGATGAATAAAACAAGACGCATAATGGAACACGGAGGTGCTCATTTCATCAATGCCTTTGTGACAACACCCATGTGCTGCCCATCTCGCTCCTCTATCCTGACAGGGAAGTACGTCCACAACCACAACACTTACACTAACAATGAGAACTGTTCTTCTCCATCCTGGCAGGCTCAGCATGAAATACGCACCTTTGCGGTGTACCTCAACAATACAGGGTACAGGACAGGTAAGATCCAGGCTGGGTCCATCTGAAAGCTTCTTTAGACTTACCTTAGACTTAGTACAAAGGCTAATGTATATATTTTAATTCTAATTTCTTCTGGACTGCAGCAGTGTATAATGCCAGAGCTTAAGTCTTGGTGTTGGTTTAGTTTCCATGTATTTTTACTTAAGGAATTTTTTGTTTACAAACAAACAACCAACAAAAATCCCAAGACTTCTGTTTTTCAGAAGGTGGGAATAAAATACTGTGTATGCTTGAGCTGAAGACCTAGCAAACCTAGAATATGGCCTACAGTTACCTGAAGTGCGCAGAACAACCAAGAAAGGTGCTATGAAAAGGAATTAGTGTTTTGACTTTTTTCATAAAACTGATATATTAAGCAAATTAAGAATCAGAGAGAAGGGACTGCTCCTTTTGTGCTTTGGGGCAGTCAGCTGTTATGATTTCTCTAGAGAAGCATGTGTGCTTCTTGGGAACAAATATCGTGTAGGAAGGATTTCAGAAAACATGTAGCATGTTTCTCTCTTAATTCCATTTTGCTTCCCCCCAACATCAGATTTAGGTCCTTACCTGTGACAGTGATTTTGTTACATTTCTTGCTAATGCCTTTTGTCATGATGAGAAATGGTCATAAACCTGGTTCGTTTTGTGTTATTTGTAGTGTATATGTACTACAGTATTGTATCATATTAATAGTATGCATTTTTTTCCCATGAATTCATAGTTACTTGATGTTTCTAGAAAGTAGTATAAGACTTGAATAGCAATTGTAACATCATTATTTTCTCTCTATTCACTTGAGTTTTGTTTGTTATTACTTCAATAACAAACAAATAACTGATTTCCTTGTTTTGTTTTTCTAAAATGAGAACCTGAATTACTTGCTGTTTCCCTCCATTTATTGTTATTGCACGATTAGCATATGCGTACCAAACCAAGGTTAATGTTTTATTCTTCACAGATTATTTGGTTTGTGTTTATTGAGCTTTGTCTGTTGTAATACTTTTTGTATTGTATTGTATTGTATTACAACAATCAGTGGTTGTATTTCAAGATCCTGCAATTTTTGCTAACTTGTATAACTATTGCAAGTGTCCTGGTATTCATATGTCTTATATTTTTTACATTACATTTTTACATTAACCTAATGTTTAAATTTAGGCCCAAGAGCTTAGTGAACCTATATTATGTTTCCAGTCTAGCTCTCTTAATTTGGAAATGAAATTTCCTGGAACTCATAGAAATAGGGTTTTCACAAGTACAAAGCGAAAATGAGATCCTCATTCACGTGGTTAAATGTAACATGTTGTTCTACAAATTTAAATGGAAATTGCCATAATTGGAGGCTGGCATTCATTTCTGTCCTCCAGTTAGTCTGGAGTTATCCACAATGAAGGAAGTCAGCAGCCTTGGTTGTCAGTTTTTTATTTTTTAACTTTGGCACTTTAAAAAGCTTGACCAACTTTGTTAGGCACTGTACTTGGAAGAATAGAGAGGCCAAGCTCAAGGGAAATTCAGTGTTTGGCCATAAGATACAGGATTTTGACTGTCATGCACAGGCTTGCTGTCACTTTATGTCAATCAGTTAGATATCACAGGAATGCAGAGGGTGGGTTTTCTTTCTACAAGGGAAGCCATTGAGGCAATATGCGTTACAGGTATTTTGTGTTCTGCATTATCTGGTCTTACAAATTAAAAACTGCTAGTATCCTGAACAGCAACATATGTTTTTGTTATGTAGCCACTACTCTTTCCCACAACTCGAGTTTCCAATCTCAGTATATTCTCCTATAGCATAATGTGGGAAATTGGGCAAGAAGGACAGTTTATGTAAGTAAACTAATTCAGCTGATGAATTAATCTTTAGAAAAGTCACTGAAAGCTACATCTGAATCGTGACTAACTTAAAATAGTTGGTGCTGGTAGTGCAGCCTAGAGCAGGACATGATTAGAATGGAAAGGAAACAGATCCTGTAACAAACATTTCAAAGGCAGTTCTCTGCCAAGCATTCCCGTGTAAACATTTATGAGGATCTGTTTTCTATGAACATATGCATCTTTCTGTGAGATGAGTTTTAGAATGCACAATGCATTGTTGCATGTTTTGGTCCTGCAGCAACAAATACCAAGATGTTATACTGGAATACATATTTAAAGTTTCTTTTGACTGTACTTAATGAGGAAAGCTTCTCCTTTCTGTTCGTCCAGCTAGCTAGATGATGAAGGCTTAAATTGATGACTGATTGTAGAGTATTTTGTCAGCCTTCTCTGCAGTCAGGAAATGAAAAGACATGTTCATCTTAAGAAATTGAAAAGAACTAGGGATGGTGGGTCAATTGCAGCCTGGCAGAAGGACACTTTTGCTTCAGTGATTCTTCTGAGAGAGTTCCCTTAATTTATGTTAGGGTTGAATGTGGCTCAGTATGCAGCAAATGCAGTACACATTTTGACTAACTTCCTCTCCTAGTTCCTGTTGAGCAGTACCTTATAGCACAGTTAAATTCCTATTCAGTTAAATGAACCTATTTACAAAGGGGAAAAGCTGCTGCTTGTATGGTAATGTGTTGGTATTTCTTTGTGCTGCTTGGCCCATACTTGAATTATTCAAAGAATTAATAAAATGCCCATTCTCACCAATCTTGTATTTTGAACCTGGAGAAAAGTGGTTGCAGAAGGTCCATCTCTGCCATTATAAAATATTTAATTGGAATAAAGATCTACCCTCCAGTGTCCTAGTCACTCTGCCATATTGCACTTCTCTGTCATGTTGTCTGCATATAAAGAAAACAGATTATCCAAATCAGAATAACATCCTGCTTGCAGAACATATAGCTTTTGCAGTTGAAGAAGGACTGCAGGCCATTTTTAAAAATAATAACCAAGTGATGCAGAAGTTAGACTTAATTTTTAGAAGTGATTTACTCAACTAGGAGCTGAAGCATTGTGATACCTCCAGGAGATCTCAGAGACTTACAAAACTGGTATCAGGTTTCTGGATTTTTGTCTAGAAGGTACGTTAGTTTCCATATAGAGCCTCTGCTCTCTATATGGAAATACTGTCTTAGCAGGCACTGTCATCCATTAGTTAGTTTGAGAGTATCATTGTTGTGGTTTGGAATGGGAGGAAAATCTGGGGAAGTGATGCAAAGCTTTTTGTGTAACTGACAGTCGGTTGAACCCCTGCCCAGCTGGACGCGCCTCAGTGGAACACACACGTTAACCCGGGAACTCTCTCTTTCCTTCCGGTCGGTGAGGAGGTGGCGGGCCCCGGCCCCACGTCTCAGCCAGGCCGGTCCGGGCGGTCCTGCTGCGGGCCGGGCCCCTTCCCCACTCCTCGGGCCGTCCGCCGGCCCCCATCGGCTCCGGCCGGGCCGGGCCCGAGGAGCTGCCGGGCGGGAAGGCGGGGGACCGGAGCAGCGCTGGCCGGAGCAGCGCTGGCCGCTGCTGTTAAGATCTTGCCGCCAGGTCCCCCCAGAGCGGCTGAGACCAGAGACCTCTGCAGCCCGTGCGGAGTGGCCCTCCGGCTGGAATTGAACACAAAGAAAACAAAAAACCAGCCACGAGGCTGATCCTGGCACGGCCCAGCCGAAGCTCCCGGCCACAAGTTACCGAAGGGTCAGGTAGGCCCCAGGTGTAATGTTAACCCTTTCAGTGCTTCAATTCTCCCTCAAGTGAGAGAAAAGAACGAGATGCAAACATGTAAAGGAACAACATGAAGACATCGAGGTCAGTGAGGAAGAAATTAAGTCCCAGATGGGAGGGAATGAGGATTTGCCTAGATCTTGGGGCTGAAATCCTTTTGTAAGCTATGGAGAAAACACTCTTTTTTCCTATAATGCATGAAACCATGGGGAGATAAAAGTGTTCAAATTGATATCAAGCAAAGGCCCCCATGCTAAGATAAGCAGGTGTTGAAATAGCTGTGATCCCATGAGAAGTTTGAACAGAGAAAGAGAGTAGTCCTGTGCTTCCAGGAGAAGATTTCTGTTCCAGGGATGAAGATGATTTTAGAAATAGATAATGAGAACTTTTGCCTTTGAATAGCTCATCTTTAAAACAATACCCCATAAGTCGACACGGCCCATTGACATGCTGTGGGAAGGCTTGTGGAAATGGGAAGGACTTCACGGTGGTAGGGTTCCCTGACTGACTGCTATTTGTGATGAAATTGAGAGCCATGAGAGAATTGTTTTCTTTCTTCCTGTGGAGAAGTTTCCATAACCTTAACAAGAAGTTCTACAATTTTTTCCTTTTAACTTTCAAAAGGTGTCTGAGAGGGATAGTCAGAAAGAGTCTTATGCCTTATAGTTCTGTTGTGTTTAAACTTTGGTAAGCTGTCACAGGCATTAATGAAAGGAGACTTTGGTCCCAACTCCATTGGGAACTTGCTTATCAGAGAAGGACAAGCAAGACTTGGCTCACCATCAGCTTTCTTTGGTCTTGTCTACCATTTCAAGGTATTTGGTTTGGGTATTTTTGTTTCATTTGGCTTCATCTGCTCCCCTCCAGCCAATTCCCCTGATTCTGTAAATAGATCTTGGCGCTGATCCTTAGCCACAACTGGGGAATGTGCAATGCAAATTCAGGAAGAAGAGCAAAGGTGTCACAAAGATTACTGTGCTTTGCCTTTGTCCTGCTGGATATTAGACTAGTTCCCTGGCATAACAACCTATAGATTCTTCTAAGTGCAGTGGTTACAAGTCACTATACAACGTGGTTTTTAGAGCCATTATATTTCATTAATTAATTGGTATTTTTTATTCCAAGTTCAGAGAAGAGCTGTGCCTGTAAAGGCTCTTGCCTTTAGAACTACTGTATGTATGTCCCTGTGATAATGGGGGATGGAGGATATGATAGCACACTATGCTGTCAGTGTGCCGTAAGGTAGAGAAAAATTTGCCATCAGTTTGCAGTAGACTAAAATGGGGGTGTGTATACACACCTGTATTTCTGCCCTTAGTCTACCTGGTGAAGTACCTGAATGAAGGAACTAAAGGGATTGATAACAAAATGTAGTCTTAAGCCCCTGCTTGAAAGTACTCTTAAGAGGTGGAAGACTCACCGTATGTTTTATGCAAGCTGTTAGATTTCCTGCAGTTACTAAGGTAATTATACTGATGCCACATCTTCTAATCCTTACAGTAGTGTCATATTTTTGGTTGTCACAAAAGGTGCTAACTTGGGACCATTTAGAAGATGGCTTCACTACTTCAGTTACTTTGATACCTAAAAAGAGCTGATATCTCATGAAAAAAATTTTACCTATGGAATGAAATTTAATACTCAACGACAGGATTTTTATCTCAGAACCCCCATTTCTGCAGTAAATTCATTAATTTCGCTATGTTTATTCCACTGTACATTGTCAGTCTAAGAGTATGTTTGGCCATGATGTGAATGCAAAATATAATTGACCTTTGGCCTAACTGGTTGTTCCATGCAATGCTGAGAGTACTTTCTCATCTGTTTCCCTCTGATTGTCTCTCAGGGAACAAAAAGTATTAAAAGTAGTTTTTGCTAGTTATACATCTGAAAATAGGACAGAGGTGTTCTCTCTCTCCTGCCACTCTATCACTATACTAATGATTGGGCAAACTTTGGGCTGGGGAAAACTGGTATCAGATACAGAAGTAAAAGACTTTAGAGAGGTAAACAAATCTTTATGTGTAATTAAGACTCGCGCTCAGAACCCAAGTTAATATCTGGAAAATTGTCTCGTGAAATAGGTCAGAAGAGCAGTACTCTAAATACATTTTCAAAATACCTAAAGCACAGCATTCATGATGAAATGTAGAGTGTTAATATTTTAAAACACGGGTTCTAATTTCACACTCTTGGCGGTAAGTGCAGTTTCGTAGGGCACTGACAGGTGGACAGATGCAGCTCAGCCATCATGAAGGATATGAAGAGAAGAATCTGGGAGGAGGAATGTGTGGTCTGACCCCAAATATATCAGGTACCAAAAAAAATGTATAATGGTAATCGTGGTCCAGTTTCTCCTGTACGTAGGTTGTAAATCAAAATATCTGCATTATGGAGATATAAACAACAACAACAAAAAAAAAAAACAGAGGCAAGATTAAGACTCAGAACTTATCTCTTATTTTAGATCTCTTGTAATGGAGAGAAGAAAGTTATTTTAAGAAAAAACAGAAAGGAATGAATCAATTTAACAATTGTGTTTCTGTTATGCCTTCTTACTATGCTTCTGCTTTCTCTACCGCTAGCTTTCTTTGGAAAGTACCTTAATGAATACAATGGTTCCTATGTACCTCCTGGTTGGAAAGAATGGGTTGGATTACTTAAAAATTCTCGATTTTACAACTATACACTCTGTAGAAATGGAGTGAAGGAGAAGCATGGATATGACTACTCCAGGGTAGGTTGTGTTTATTTATTTCTCTTAACATTTGGACATAACAACAAGAAAGCTGCACTTTATGGTTTCAATCTCTTTTCGTACTTGAAAGCTGCTATGTGTAACATTATCTACAACCAGTAACAGGAGTGTTGGGACATTGTTACCTTCCATTCTGGGAGGGTTATGTTACCAAAAACATTGTTACTAACAGTGTAAACAATTAAAATGTTCTGAGACTGTGTTAAATAAGACCGTGTTGAATATTACAAGCTGAAGATGTGAAAGTAGACTTAAATGTTTCAGATTAACTATTTCTGTGCTTTGTATGATAATTATTGTGGCAGTGGAGTTACACAAGTATTCATGAGATAAGAACCCGTTTCCCTCCAGCTAGACCCACCCTTTTCAAGGAACTTCTTTCACAGCCACAATACTAGAGAGTATTCACAGAATCTTGGTACAATTGATGATAATTCTGAATCAGTGGAGAATTTAACTATTATGTTTGTATTTTTGTGCATACAGATGTATATGTTTTTTAATATCTTTTCAAGGATGTTATATCCTGACCAAACTTACAAAAATGCTTCATAGTCATTGTCAAATGCAGTTTTATTTTTCTCTCATCTAACATGCTACAATTCAATACCTGCTTGCAGTCAGGCATATATTTATTTCAGCTAAAAGTGTTCCTTTCCAAAGGAACCAGCTTTACTGAAGTCCTAAAGTAGGCAGAAGTGACTTTGTAGTATGATGGTGGCTAAATCTATCCACAAACTGGTCTATTTTTGGTGTATAACTAAGGAAGTGGATTCACTCTGAAGTGATTTGTAATGTATATTTGTTTAACACATGTTTTGTTTGCTTTCTCTTATTGATCGCAAATCCTGCCTTCCTCTTTTTGTTTCAGTTCACAGCCAGTTTCTCCTTTAAAAGGTTGATGTCTGGGATTTCCTGTCTGGGATTTCCACTTTTCTTTGCCCTATTTGACTTTTATAATTGAATGTATTTTGTGCTGAGAGATAGAACTTCACAGTCTTCTAGGGTTACTCTCTCCATTACCAGCTGCGAAGGGGAAGGAGTAAACTAATGTACAGAATTATTTGTCTTCTATTCTCCTTCAGATCTGTGAAGAATGTCAGAACTAATCTTTAAAGCTGTGTACTGAAATGTTATGATGGAAATATATCTTGTGTGGAACAGTGTCAGCCAAGTGATTTCATAGGCACTGTTCTCCATCTCCATTGTACCAAGGAGCCAACAGGGAGCTTTATGTTCCAATACCTTCAGCTCTGTTCTGTGTGGGAAAGACTTGAAAACGTTTACGTTTCACTTGTTTTAGTTTTTTCTTACAGAGATTGTTAATAAATAAAAAATAAGGATGATGGAAATGCAAACTTTTTATAATCTTCATATTCTTGTATAAAAAGCAGCTACAGTAAAAAACAGTGTGTGGAGCAACAGCACTGGTTGACGTTAACACTGGAGTTCAAATGAGCAGACAGAAGCTGAAATGGAAGACTCTTTTCTCTTTATTTCCTGCCAGTTTTGTTGCTGGAAATGTGATTTTTCCAGCGATGACCAATATAATCAGATGAATTTTTTTAGTCCTCTCTGTTTAACATAGTTAAGGTTAATTATGTGCCAGTGGAAAACTATAAGAAAAAAATCACTGATTATTCTGTCCTCTAAAGTAACTGCTAAACTTTTCTGAAAATTAAATTCTTTCAGATTTTCTTGCAGTATATATTACACTTTGATTTTTCTTTTTCAGTTTCGGTCAACATTTTTTGGAGTAACTTTAATTTTGTACAACTAGAACCTCTACAGTATGGACCTTTAAAAAAACCCTGTAGAAATCAGTCCAGTGGAATGTTTCTGTTTGGTCATTTGACCTGGTAAATGCTGAGTTTGCAGTGATTTTCGCTTTGACCATGTGGAAATCTGTATCTTTGAAATTAAACTGGAAAACTATACTTTAAAATGAAACTGGAAAACTATACTCTTGTAATGGCTAAATCAAAGATGAGTTACGCACTTCAAATGATTGACCCGCTTAAAGAAGCAGCATAATGAAGATTAATGGCAGTGCATATTTGAGAGCGCTTAAGTATTCTCTCTCAACTATGAATAGTGTCTCACGCATTGAAGGCATGTTCAGAAGTCAACTTTGCTTTGGTGCATTTTCCCATCTCCTGCTTACTTTTATGGGTGGAAGACCTTCATTTAATGCCTATTGAGAGTGAAAGTGCCATCCCAGTAACAGTCGTAATCATGGCAGTTTCATAACAGTTGTGCCTTGTGTTGTACAAGTGTGAAAAATTATAAATGGAGACTTTGCCAGCCTTATTCTGGCATAGACAAGAAATAACCTGGGGGAAGGAAATATAGACCATGGAAAAGGCTTTCTTTGAATGATGAGCTGACTTCTCAGACCAAGGACATTGACAGAGGTGAAGAGGAGCAAGTGTCTTAACCGTGGACAGAAAGCTGTACTCAAAAGGAGATGCAATCCAGTCTGTACCACACCTTGTAACTGTTGGCTTGACCAGAGGCAAATGTTATGTCTGATTTTACATTCTGCTGTGACATGATAGTTATATTGAGGTGTTTTTTTTTTAAGGTGTAGTTTCATGTCCTACTTATGTTTGTAGTGTTTCCATGGAAGCACCTAAGGGAGAGCATGGCTTGTCATTAAAAATCCTGTCTTCAATCCCTATAGCTCTTGCAGATATCTTAAGAGTGATATAATGATTCTTAGAAAATACAGAGATAGTCCAGCTCTTCTACAGGAAGTTTTCTAAGTTCTCAACAATATGTGTGATAGAGTTATATCTCAATCAGATTGTCACAGATTGTCATTGAATAAAGTCTTTGATTCAGTTAGCCCACCATCTTCTCGTTTAGTGATTTCTGGTTCAGAAGAAGATGTAAAAAAAAGAACATTAAGCCATTAGCATTTTCAAAGTATTTTTATGATGTAAGGTTGGACTATACACCTTGAAGATACTGACACTGTTAATTTTTTTTTTAATTCATACCTGGTCATTGTATTTAGTATTGTCTTTTTCATCATGTAGTTACCCACTTTGGGAAGAAAGGATACTGTTTGATCTCCTTTAGTGCCATTCAGTTCTGAGAAAAATCTGGAAGCTGTTGGTTTTTGTATTTCTAGGCAGTGAAGAAAGAATTATTTGATTCTAAATTTTTGAGTTTTTAGTATCTGTGACTTACTTCCTCCTCATACCATTCTAAGTGAAGTAGCTTCTTTTTTCCTATTTCTTATGATACCTGAGACCTCTCCTTCCTATTGCCCCCTCCCAGTTTGAAATTCCTTTTCAAGTGTCTCATTGTACTTTTGCTTCTACTTGCAGGATTATCTGACTGATCTGATTACAAATGACAGTATTACCTTCTTTAGAATATCAAAGAAGATGTATCCTCACAGGCCTGTACTGATGGTAATAAGCCATGCTGCTCCTCATGGTCCTGAAGATTCAGCCCCTCAGTACTCACAACTCTTTCCTAATGCCTCAGAACACATGTAAGGAAAAAACCAAAACTTTGATTGATTTTCAGGTTCTGGAATATGGAAGTTCTGGGTACCTCAGGGGAACAATGTTTTCTTTATAGTACTCTTGGCATAACTTTGTCACAAATATTTTTTTTGGTGCCTCCTCAGACCGGTACAAGTGTGTTGAGAATGGCTGCTGCATCGAAAACTCAGAATTGTAGCTCATTGGGATAAATGGGAAGATTCGTGTTGAATTCTTTGGACATTGTTACAGCCTATTTGGGAAGTAAAGCACTTTTTATTCGGAGCAGGATGATCAAAATTTGGTTCTTGGGCTATAATCTCTTCAGGGGAAGAAACTTTATCTCCCTGTCCTTACTTATAAACTATAGTATGCAATACATATTACTCCTGTTTCTTTTATGGAAAGAACAGAAATACAGTCCTGCAGCACCAAATTACACAGGCTGTTTCTGAATGAGCTGGTAGGTCTGTACATGACCCAATACAATGTCTTGAACAGATCCCAAAAGCAGTATCACCTGGTTCCTGAAGGAGCATGTTTATAAGTTCCTTGTTGAGATGTTTCTTGTTTATAGCACAGAGACATTTTGCATGTACAGCTCTTAATGCTGCACTAGGTATCTCCTCACATGGAGGCAAAACGAATACTTCTCCCAAATCACCTCTTGATGCAACTGAAAACATTCCTACAGTTTTCTAAGTACTGGCTTCATGCCTTCCTTGATGTTCAACATCTGTAACTTTCTTCCTATGTGTTGCCCCTTCCCCCTGCTTCTTTGAGGGGAATTCTCTTTTGCTTTGCATTTGTGGAGGAACTGGGAACTGGTGGAAATAATTGTCTGTTGATGGCCAAAGCTCCTCAGGCTAGCCCAAAGTCCAGTGAAAGCCATTTGAGCTTTTTTGTTTTATTTAAAATAGAGTCTGAGAGAAGTTTCTTTTGTTTTATTGTCGGGTTACTGCATAACTTAGAATTTTTATATTTCATTATTTTCTGCTGTGTCCAAGAGAATCTGTGGCACAGATCATCAGCAATTAAGTGTTTCTTGTTTGTTTGCCATCTTAGGCTCTTTCATTTTCTTTGAAATAAAAATTGCAGAAATGCCCAATGAGCAACTTCTCATGGCTTATATCCAGTATTGACCTTAGTTTTATTAGGTTCCTCTGGAAGGCATTTGGATCTTGGAGGTGACTATCATGCAACATTCTGTAGCAATTTACTTTCTAGCTGAATGAAAAAGAGTGGAAGGATTGAAGCAATGAAAAATACAGACTATATATGTCTATTTTTCTTTTGCTAGTACTTTAAATTTGATTGTTCACACAAATTAGGTTTAGCTTCCTAATTATAAAGTAATTACACTTTTGTTGGTTTTTTATTGTTTTAGGTGACTTTTCTTACAGTGTTAACAATTACACAGGAAGTATCACTTTTTGAAAAGAAGTTTTGTTTGTAAAAAAAGAAATTATCCTGTTAGATTAAAGAACAGTGTTTTTCTTTTGGATATGTGCATAAAATAGGATTTTTTGTACATATCACACAAAGAAATTGACAGCTGTCTTCTAAACAAATTTTCCAGCACTCCATAATGACAATAATAATGATGATAATAATAATAGTAATCTGCCAGAGTTTTCATTGGCCTGGGTTTAAGAGTAAATGTAAAAATGCAGAACATGTACATACAGTGAGGGAATGATCTAAATTAGTTCTCTACTTTCTACTTTTCCCCTTGTTCCCAAATTCCAGGGAATCTCAGTGACAAAGATCTGTCCCCAATGATAAAGGGTTGCAGGCAACTCTTACTGTTTCATTGTCATGTGGATATTGTAAGGAGGCATCAGAATGCACGTGGAACAGTTACAAATTGCCCTAAAGCAGTAAGCAATACCCTGGACAAAATCTTTGCCTAGTCCCCAAAGCAAAAGGCAGTATACCAGGTGGTATGATCCTCCACCTTTTCCTGTGGCAGTGCTGATGAAGTCTGTAAGTGGATTCTGTGGAAAAGAAAAGCCAAGGTAAAGTGGGAGAGTAGTGCTTGGCATTGACTGATGTACATACTGCATCATGTGGCATTGCTAGTAATAGCTGAAAGCCAGTGGTATGGATTTTAGTCGGTGTGCTGCTTTGCTTCTGAGCTCTGGTATGTACTTCTGTGGCTAATTTATGCTGCTGTTCTCTTGATTCTATACCATGTTCTGGCTGATATGACCATTCTGCCCTATACTGCAGACTCTCCATCTCATTCTGTAGCGCTCCTCTCCATGTGCATCTGCAGTCTTGTCTTGTTTGAAAATTATTCACAGAGCAAATCCCTCAGCTACACAGTTTTCCTTTATTGCTGCCTATATTGTGAGCTGTAGAGAAAGTGGCAGCTGGGCAGTTTAACAGTGATCAGAAATTTTACTTCAATATACAGTACATGTTACCATCCATCTTTTTTAAGGTCAAATTCAATCTGTCTGGGGCTTCCCTTCTAGGTAGTTTGAGAGAAGTTAGCTAGCTTCTAGAAGTGTTAATTTTTTTTTATTTTTCCCACAAGACAGACAAACCTGTTAAGGATTAAAAGGTTACATTTGTAGTAATCGAAGAAAATGGTGGGTTTTGGTTGGATTAAATAGTGGGAGGTTTCAAGTCAGACAGGAAGTCACAAAGTAAGCGGAAAAGGAGTTTGCAAAGCATTTTTTATTAATTCTGGACATCACATAGCAACAGTTTCTGTAACTGTCAGCATTTTCAAAGAGGCAATGTCATTATTTCAACCACAATAACATTCTGAAATTCCAGAGACTATTAACAATACAGAGAGAATAGGCACCAGCCCTTTCCTCCCTGTGTGAAGAAGCCTCCCCTTGCCAAATATGCACATTTTTCAGATAGCATCTAATAGAGACTTTCAGCATAAAAGTGTCATTGTCAGATTATTAGTTTAATATTTGTATTAAACCTCCTAAGACTGTCATATTCAAAGATACATTACATATGCAGTATTTTGATTAGTAGTTTCAACTTACATTTTTTTTAGCTTAATAACTTTTAATAACCTTGCTGCTCTGTTGCCTATACAAAACCAAAAGTAGAAATTTCTCAAATAGGAATTTATTAGAAAATTCTGTGATGCTAAGAGGAAAGTAAATGAGTATTTTCATTTGGATAGACTGAGTTTAGTGCTTTGAATGAAAAAAGGAAGCCTAACCAAATTACATAAGAAAAGTAATTTTTAATGTTTGACTCTGCGCATGATGTGTTTGGGCCATGATGTGAAGAAATTGTAAAACATGGTCTTCACCTGAAGTAATAAGGAATAAATATAGTACATAAGAATAGTATTTCTTGCAAATGTATGCTATAATAATAGCTTTTAGTTAATTGGATTTGCAGAGAGTTTACATCATGGTGGTAAAATAAATCTTTTATTTAGGTTCAGCTAAAGTTATATAATTATGCATAGAAATGTGATTGCTGGAACTTCCAACCATGTGAAACTATGGACAATATTTTTCCTCATCACTTTAATCATGTCCCAGGACCATGAGAACTTGGAGGGACAGTGACATTCCAAGGAGACATTGAACTAGGTTCTTGTGATTTTGCTGGGACTTCAAGCAAAGGAGTTGGTGGCTGGAATAAGTCATCAAAATACAGCCCTATTTTCTCATCCCACTTTTCTTCACAGGTCTTTAAAGTCCAGCTATTTCCCCACTTCTGCTGCTCACATGCAGTTGGATACCAGTAGGCAGAGTGCCTATGCTCCTCTGGTGCATAAGTGTGACAATATTCAAGTAACCAGTCATGCTGAACTGTAAAAAGCTGTTAAAGAACATAGTAGAACCTTTACAGAAAGTTGTATAGTTATTTTTAAACAGCTTGAACAAGACTGCTAATCTGGGCAGAGTGAAAACAAAGCAATGGCATGAGTAGGAACTCTGTAATACATGCTTCATCCTGATCATACTTGTGGAGTTAAGTCTTCTGAGGCTAAGTCTCTTGGCCTTGAAAAGTGTACTTGTTAGCTCAAAATCTTCGGAAAGATAAGGTGTGTTTAATGTTTTCGTAGATTTTATTCCCCCCAAGTGGTTTTCATTTTCCCATGTTTCATAACATGAAAGTAGAAGACATTTCAAAAATAATCTTAATATTTTCTTGTGCACCTCAGATAGTACTTCCTACAGTGTTGATCAAATGGAAATTAATATTCATTACTATGGCTTTTTTCTACTTGGCTAAAACATTGTGATTTTCTCTCTGTTCCTTAGTACTCCCAGTTATAATTATGCTCCAAACCCAGACAAGCACTGGATAATGAGGTACACCGGTCCCATGAAGCCTATACACATGGAGTTCACTAACATGCTACAGAGAAAGCGCCTTCAAACACTTATGTCTGTGGATGACTCTATGGAGATGGTAAGATTAATAGTCACTTTTGTTTTGTTTTTTGGCTAAACAGGTGCTTGTTTCTTGAGTTAAGCTCTACATTGTCCTCCATATGAAGATAAAGGACAAAGAAGGAGGAGGAGGACTGTTTAAAAAACTAGTTTTTTAATAATGTGTAATCCTCTCACTGCTGATTATTTTGTCTCTTAATTCAATGTGTAAGGTTCCTCATCTCCTAAAGACAGCTACCCTGAATTGGGCCGTGTGAACAAGCTGATTTTTTGCCACAGAACCACTACTTATAAAGGGAAAGAGAAAGGGATTGCCTGAAAAACTACACATCATGAATCCTAAAAATGTATCCTCTGATAAAGTCATCCTACAACCTATTGGAAATAACTACCTAAATGTGTGATTATTTTGATCCTGTAACACCGAGCTTCTGAGAGAAGAAAACAGCAGCAGCAAAAAGTGATGATACTGGAATGATCCCGGAGGAGGTTAAATACTGGAAGTAAATAAATACGTAGATTAGTACTTGTAAAATTGTCTGCATCATGTAACAATGAGATTTCTTAATGGAAACTATGTGTCTTCAACAAAATGTCTGGATTCACTAAAAGCTATGCTGAAGAAGAATGGTTTTGCAGATTTAAAGGTGTTGCATTTTTTCTGCTTATCTCTTGGCATTCTTATTCAAAAAAGGTAGAGGAGTCCTCTAGGGCAAAAATGAGATTATGTAGATGGCATTGCATAAGCTTGTTACTAATGTCTTATAATTACCGATTCAGGCAAATATGATCTCTGCTTCATGTTAACAAAGCTGTTTATGTGGATCAGATACCAGCATTAGGGGAAATTGGTGATTTTACCACACAATTTGTATTTCCTGTTTAGTAAAAGAGTTTCACTCTGGGTGATTCACAGCAGGCAAAATCAGTTAGATTGGTTTTTAGTTCTAATTACCAAGTTAGCCTGATCTTTTTCTACTGAATTATGTGTGTTACTAGCTTTTCAAAATTAAAAAGAAAATACCAAAACAATCTCACACTCAAAAAAAGCAAAACAAAAAATAAAAACCAAACAAAAAACCCTGAAAACAAAAACCAAAAAAAGCCAAACCAGCAAACAAAACAATTTGAAAAAGAACCCAAAATGAACTCCCAAACCAACACAACAGTTTTTCTCCTGTGCTGATGTTTTGCACTTGTGTGAGGCTCCACTTTGGTGGTATCCCACCACCTTCTCACCTTTCTCAAGCGAAAATGTCACATAAAAATTGATCTTTGATACTCAAGTTGGTACATTTCACATAGTATCGTATGTAAATCTGTAGAAGTATTCACGTTTAAATCTCCTTGTAATTCTCCATACTGAAGAGAGTATGACTGAGTGATTTTTATCTGGAAGATATTTTGCAAATATTCTGCATAATGGGGAGTCATTTGTCTGAAGGCAAGGTTGTTGAATGCTGCCTGAATATGTGTGAGATTCAAAGGGCCGTCATTTTATTAAAACTATTTGCTGCAAGAAGATAAAAGTGAAGAGAAAATTTTGAAGTGACACCTTGAAACTTTTATCTCTGTTACTGTATGTATTTAATACTATCTTGACAGCTCTCATGCAAAATACTGAACCCAAACATTTTTGAAATGGCATGCTAATGTGTTTTACCTTAAAACAGAATTTTGTCTTGTAATAGCCAAAATATTCAGTTAGTAAAATTAAGATGTGATTATGTATTATTCAGAGTGGTTCATTATGATAACTCAGTGCTATGCTTAGCTGTTGTTATTTGTATGTTACTCATAACATAAAGGGATATGCAGCATTCCACATATAGAGCTACTCAGTGGAATAAATTTCATATTTCATTTTGCTTTTTTTCAGATTTACAATATGTTGGCTGAAACAGGAGAACTGGAAAATACGTATCTAATATACACAGCAGACCATGGTTATCATATTGGGCAGTTTGGGCTGGTGAAGGGGAAGTCCATGCCATATGAGTTTGATATCAGAGTCCCTTTCTATGTCCGAGGACCAAATGTGGAGGCTGGGTCCTTGTAAGTTCTTTGCTTTTGTGTGTGTTGTGCCTTGAAAACTTCATGTTTGCATCTCTAGTTTTATTGACCTGGCAGCCAAAGGAAGGCACAAAGTTCTGCCCATCCTGCTTATTTTTGGCAGAAAAATATACCTCCTCAGAAAGCAAAACTGATAGCACAGGATGGTATAACAAACTCGAGGCCATTGCCTTTTTGCTTGCATAGGTGTGCAGCACAAGCCACTGCACTTTTGTGGATATTGTTGAAAAATCACTTTGAGTTTTATGCAATCTAGGAAACACTTGCATTCATTTGAGGAGTGCAAATTACACATGCAACTGTCACTTTAAAGTTTAAAAATATACTGTATAATGTAGATAATTATTGCTGAGCATTGGAGTCACTTGTTTCAGTTTATAAAGACCAGCTCATATATTAGCATCCACAAAACATTCTTTTTGGCTCATTCTCTGAGACTACATGGTTAGGGCTGTTATTTGAATGCACACAAGCATGCAGAGTATAACTATTAATTAAAATGGTAGCTTTGATCAGCTAAAAAATCAAGTAAATACCTTTTCTAAGCAATTATTTCAGATAGCAAATATTAGCACTTAGGTAATGATTTTGGACAGAGTGCCATAAATTGCTGCCTAATATTTATATCAGTGTGCATGACTTAGCATAATTAACACGCACAATCTTCCACACACAATTTTTTTCTTCACCACAGAGGAATGGATCTAGTATTTAATATGATAGCAAATAGTTATTAAAGACCTCTTATTCCAAATGCTGGTTAAATTCATTGATTCACGTTATCTGAAACCAGAAAAATGTTAAATTCTGTAGATCTTGCACATGATTCTGGTTTATTTTCAGCAGTTTTGCATGTGAAAAAGAACAATATTCTCTAAAGAGCAGGGAGGGATTCCTTACTTGAGACTAAACATATTACCTCAGCACTGAACAAGTTTTGTCTGCAGCAGCCCAGAATTTCAAATGAGCTGGAATAGCCCTCTAAAAAACTCTCTCTTTCACTTTGACTGCAGTTTTTGATCTTCCTGGAGCGTCAATGCTAACATGGCCCAAGTGACTGAGCTAGTACGTTTGCAACATATAACGCTAGAGACCAGCCACATTGTGTCTACTGTAGTTCTAGGATCTTTGCATCCAGATATCCATAGAAGTTCTGAAACCTTCCCACTGAATTTTATTTTTCGAAGGCTTCTGAAGATGAAAACATGTTTCTGTTAGAATTGAAAGAATCAGCCTTGACAGGGCCTTAACAGAACAGAGCCTGTCACAGTAGAGCAAATAGAAAGAACAGGATAAAACACCCTGGAGAGGGAATATATCAGATAATAAATTGATCTTCCCTCTCAGCCTGGTTTTCTTTAAATGGTAGAACTTCAGACATCTGTGGTTTTTTGTGAACCTTATGTTTTTCCTGCAGAATAATTGTTATGCCTCCCTTTTGGTACTAGGGAAATTTTAATAGCAATCACCATAGCAAGTCATTACTAACCTCTCATTTCAGTTACCAAATATGCTATATAATAATTATTAGTAATTAAAATCAAATCAGGTACATAAAGGTAATTCATCACCTATGCTCTTGTCAGTGCCCTGTTTGCTTACTCTCTCAAAGATGTAGTAATTTTAAAATAGTATCTCAGTAAATATTGTGACTTTAACAGCTTTTTTCTGTCCTATGTTTTGAGCTGTAATTCAGCACTAGTATTTATTTCAGCCCATCTGGTCCCATCCTTTCTTTGTGCCTGCACATCATAACACAGTGATTCTACATGCTTAGTGCTGTAGCATGTAGTGTTAGCATGTAGTTCAAGCTGTTATTTTCTCACTTTTTTTCTTAATAACTGTTCCCCCTGTGCTGCTTTTTTCTTCATCCTTTTCCTTTTTCTGTCTCACACTGTAAATTAACAGTCATTTTTAGTTGTTACTAGTGCCTAGCAATGTATTTCTCACACTCTATTTAGAACATGCCTATGGTGATAGGAACTGAAGTACTCATTTCTATTTTGAAACCTGCCAAATCTACTTTTAAGAAAGTCATCAACATATTTGGCAGGCATTTTGATTCTGTAAGACACTCAATCACTTTTTTCCAACAGTTTTTAAACTGTCTTGTGCAAAAATTAACTTTTACCTTATTAACTACTTTGCTTTCTCAAAAATGCTCTGTAATAAAGTTTTAAATATTTGTATTAGTCTCCTTGAGGTTATGCAACTTATCTATATATTATAGGTTAATTCCCTTCATGGAAAAGGGAATTAACCTCTTTTATTTCCAAGTGTCACAAAATAAGCCTTTTCAGGTCCTTGGACTCTGTGGGAACTGGAGTTGCTTGGTATTATTGTATAGACCTTAAACTGATTTGTCCTATGTTTTTTCCAGGAATCCTCACATTGTGTTAAATATTGATCTCGCACCTACAATTCTAGATATTGCTGGATTGGATATTCCATCTGATATGGATGGTAAATCCATTCTAAAGCTGATGGATTCTGAGAGACCGGTAAATAGGTAAGAAATGAAAATGTTGCATGAAAACATGCATGTGTTTGTACAAGAGACTGAGCAAGTGTTCAGCCGCATGCAGAAAATTTAAAGGAAAATATAATACAGTCACCATCTAGCTGAGTACATCATTCACGGGAAAGTCTGAAGACTATTTGGCATATACAACTCACTTCAGTTATTTATTTTCATTTTGGTTTGTTCATATTCTAGATGTATGGCATGCATGGCATATGTATATACTAAATGTAGTCTATGTAGAAGTGAGAGGGCTCCACATGAAGGTCTTTAGCTATTTAGGTTTTAGATTTAAATGTCTTCATGGCATCATTTGTAGTAAAGCATTTCATACTGAATAAATAGTAAAATAATTGAAGGCGATGGTTGTGTATCAGACTATAATATAAAGACAGGCTAGCACTAAAAACTGCAGCTTTTATTTAAGTTTTTCTGTCAGTAATTTCATTGGAAAAACACTGAGGAAGAGAATTAGACTTGCTGGAGAATGCTTGCAAGAGAAAATCAGCAGAAAAAGGGAAGGATAACTATTTGCTTTACATGTAGCTGGGTGGAGGGAAAGGGGGACTGGAGCAGCTGCTTTAGAATAAGATACTTATTGGATAGGTGCATAGTAAGAGCCCAAATTTGAGTCAGGAAATCCTGTTTTAATTTGTGATCCTTTGTGAACAAGGAAAATTCAGTTAATCTCTTGTGCCTTCAACACATTTAAGTTGAAGAAATTGTCCTGTGTAAACCTGTTGTGGATTTAGTTCCTGTGAGAGAAATATGTCCTGTGGTTTTCAGTGGAGAGCCATATGTTTCTGGTTCATAGAGCTGGATGTCCTCTTGTGCGGTTATGTGACATGTTTCTTGTTGGAATTAGGGGTGGGAGAGAAAACTGGGGCGTAACTTGGTTACTGGTTTTGTGGGAATTGTGTCTTCCTCTCCTCCTTGTTTCCTCCTAGGTTTCATTTAAAGAAAAAGATGAAGGTATGGAGAGACTCATTCCTCGTGGAAAGAGGGTAAGGAAAGTGTTAATCACAAAGCCTAGTCTTTTTAAATAGAAAGATATTGAATATCTAAAGCCAAAGCAGCACTCTGCTGCAGTCTAAAGCCATTTAGCTGTGCCAGCAGGGACACAGCTGCAGTATGCCTAATGGCAGTGATTGTTTGATTGGAGGGAATGGATGGCCTCTGCCTACAGCCTGCATAAATGTGCTCTTGTGGTGGGAGAAGGGGAATTTCCTTGGATTGAGAGAATGGGAAGGCATCCCAATTTGCTCTTAGCTACTGTCCCCTACCCTCCTGCTTGTATCACAGGATTATGAACAACCCTTCTTCTCTGCATCTTCATCTGCTAGTCATTCCCTCTGCACCTCTGCCTTAGTAGATAAATGAGGGCATTAGGGGTTTGCAAAGTACAGCACTGTAGAATGTGATGTGGTCTCTCTATATTGACAGTTGTCACTGCCTGTCACTCAGGCATGTAACACAGTGTCTTGATTTTATATGTTTTTGTATGCTCCCTGAGAGCAGGACATGAATAACTTGTGTGTTATTAGACAGTTTCTACTGGACTGTTAAGTTTTGGCTACCAGAGGTGATACGGACTCTGAAAATGACTACTTATCTAAGTCTTTTCAGCTAACTGTATTTGTGTGTTGGAGTTAATGTAAGAATAATTTCTTTTTCTTTTCCAGTAAATTGCTGCATAAAAGGGAGAACGAGAAGGTAGATGCCCAAGAAGAAAACTTTCTACCCAAATACCAGCGTGTGAAAGACCTCTGTCAGCGAGCTGAGTATCAAACAGCTTGTGAACAGCTTGGCCAGGTAGGGTATTGTTACCCCAGACTGCAAGAAAGCAGTTGTAATTGGGCTAAGCTCAACACCTTCATTGTGTCAATGTTCTTCACCTCATCATCAATGCCAGCATATAAATCAAATAGCTGGTTCTGTAACCTTTGCTCAAATCTTTATTACAGCATTTTTGAGATTGACTGTCAGTCAAGAAATTGCTGATTCAAGTGTTCTGTATTGATTCCTGACTACCACTAAGAAAACTGCCTAGGCTCTCTCAATGTTTTATTTCTCAAAGAGGATGTGGTTTGGGATTCATTAGTGATGAGAAGCCACAATGTACATAACTGATTGGCCTTTTAAAATATATATAGCTTGCTTTGCTTCAAATTCTCTCTTTAATTCATTTTGTTGTTGTTACTTGTAATTAGTTACTACTAATTACATATAGTAATGGAAAGCTAAAATTCTGTTAACTCAGTATATATATCCCTCCTCTTAACAAAAACACACTGGGAAAACACACATGCGATTATGACTGGAGGCAGGCTGTGTGTATGTGGGCATAAAGCTCATTGACTGTAATTTCCCTTGTTGCATAACTGTTTTGGGCAGATATGACAGTATGTTCACTTTACATACAAGTGACATAGAAGAAATTAATGGGAAAAAATTAGGGTAGTATCAATACATGGTCTTGACATGCACAGGAGAGGATTTTGTGAGTTTAACAGGGCAGTGCAAAAGCAAAGTATGGCTATCTCCAGAGTGTTCACCACTCTTGGCAAAATTGACTCTGTGTCATAGCTCTCTCATGCAGGTGTGGGACAGAGAACCCCTTTCCAAGGACTGTAACACATTCTGTGAACAAAGGGGTGAAGGTAAATGGGTCCACATGCTAATATGTCTGTTATCACACTGGCATTACCTCATATTCCGGCAGCCCAGAGGGCTGTCAAAGTAAGTTAGTCTGTGGAATATAACTGTTCTTCCAGACATGATATAAATGACTTACCAAGCTATAGCCAGTAATGGGCTACTTAGGCTGCAGTAGTTAATTTATTTACTGTCAAAGGCCAGACTCCATACTTCTAGCTCTACTGATCATGTAGTTCAATGTACCTGTGAAATGAGTCCATTGTTCCTTAGGTGTTTGGATCCAATTTATATGTATAAAAATTGTCCAGGTGTTCTTTTCCTCCTGTGGCTTCTATGTCAGATTGAGTACACAGAGCAATTATAATCTTCTGTTCTTTGTAAAAATACTAAACTTAAAAGAATACTATATGCAGTATCTTATTGTCATAAGAAGTCTTTAGCTGAAATTTTAGCTGAATGGGAGCAAGCCACTGTTTTATGAATTTGCAATGTCATTTGAAGAACTGGAAGGAAAGGTGGTTTTTTTTTTTTTTTTTTTCTACTACAACATTATCCAGTAAGTAGGATGGGGAAACATAACATTTTTTGTTTTCCCATCACTATTTTCTTTTCAAGAGAAGTATAAAATGTCAACTCCATAGTCAAAATTACCAATAAATTCTGCATTATAGATGTGCTAATAAGAGATGCTTGTGCTATATCCTTATTGTCAGGAGACAGAGAGGAGAAGAATTGTTTTGAGCAGTTCGGTCAGGCATAATAGGAAGGGATAGGATGAAATTGAGCAAAAAAAGAAATTTATGTTGGACATCAGGAAAAATTGCCAAACAATCAAGTCAATTAAAATCTGTGAAGGGCTCTCAAGGGAATCTCAATCCTTCTAACCTCTACTCTAGAGACTACGTCCTAGTAGTCTGTCTACACAATAGGAATACTGGGAGATGAATGTGCTTCTTTGAAGATAAATTGTGTTTAAATGCGGGTGCGCCCAAAATCTCTTCAGAGTGAAGGAAGACTAACTTCTCAAATGACAAATGGGTGTTGTCTGTTTGCTGATGCTGTTCATAGTTCTGCACAGTAAGTAGAATGAGCCCAAGCTAATAACATACCACTGCCTTGGGGAGTTGATGTTATGCAGATGCAATGGTTATTTAGCAGATGTCTTCTGATCCTGCAGGACACTCTATTTAACAGTACTTGGAGTATGAAAAGTGAATTTTTGTATCCTGATAAATACCTCTCTGGGTCAGAATTAGTTGAAAGCTTGCTGAAGTCACTGGGGCTCTTTCTTTTGACTTAAACAAGTTTTGGGGACCTGCTATTCCATGCACGGAGAAATCTGATTTGTCAGGGAATGTAAAGTGTGAGCAGGAGACAAGAAGCACAAATGGAAAGCAAAGACCCAGGAGGGGAATGAAGGACAAGAGACAAGGGCAGAGTTTAAAAGAGAGGTAAAGAAAGGAGAGGGAAATAAATCTTTGAATGTAAGGTGGAGAATTTGAAATTCTGCTTTGTGAGCATGCAATACAGGTCTATTGCCACAAAGTGATTTTTGAAAATTTTTCACCCTCATTAACCTGTATTTGTTTTGATAAGAGAGTACCAAGATCATGGAGAAGAAGCTATTCATAGTGTCTAAAACCTTGTTTCACAGCCCACTAAGTGGAAATTTTTTTGCATCGCTAATATATGTAAATTCTTCTGAGAGCAGTGGGAATCTGTGTGTTGCCATGTTTTGTTTTTCAGTTATTAGGGTTTGGTGTGTGTTAGTTCTTTGCATCCAACAAGGGGTGACTGTAGAATCAGATGAAAGAGCAGCTCAGCATTTATATTCAGGGATTTAAAGGAGATGAACTCTTCCCACATGAAATAAAAAAGAAAAAAAAAATATCCTATTACCTAATGGCTTCCACACTTTTTTTTTCTTTTTAGTGTAGTTTGGTCTTTCATCCGAAGCTGGCTGGTGAGTGGAAGCTGACCCATTTTTATCTAGTAACCTGCATTAATGTGCTTTTGTGGAAGCCAATTATGATACCAGCATTGCTCTGTAGAGTATTCCCAGTAACACCACAGTATCATAACAAGGGCTGCACAAAATCTCCCTTTAAGTGAGTTGCCAGTTTTGTGCACATTTGATAAACATGCAATACCCGCAGCAGTGCTGATTGCTATAGGGAATCTATGCTGTACATGTAAGAATTCCAAAAATTAAAATATTTTTTCTTTAGCAGGATCTGGCATAGTACAATAATACTGCTAACTCCTGAAGAGAAATAGTTGCCTGATTTAACATTATTTCCTTTTCAAATACATTTTATTTTCAAAGCTTTATTTACATGCAAATCTGATACAAGTAGAAATTGCCTTTAAATAACATTAGAAGTATCATTTTATACGACAGTTTTCACAGGATAACATTCAAAATGCAAATGTTTGCACTTTGTTTCTTTCAAGTGTTCTGCAGATGAAAGGTTTGACACAGAGTGTTCCCTCCAATCGCTTTGTACTATACCAGGATCATGAAGGGCTACTCTCTTTTGTAACTGGTCTGATGATACCATAAATAAAAGCACATGCTTTACTTGCTTGCTGCCCCCAAGTTCTCTCACATAACTTGGCATACCAGTGATGAAAACTATTCTGATCAGTGTGTGCCTTCTTTGTAAGTTCAGAAAAGGAACTACATCATATTCCTGAATCCACCACAAGCATTATTAGCCATTGCTTAGTGCCAAGGGAGGAGAAATAGGAAAAAAATTGCTTATATTTTCTCCTTTTTCTGAGGCCACTGTAGCTTGAGGTTGTATCAACCAGACCTAGGAAGCAGTGTCAGGTTTTGGAAGGAATATTTTTAAAAATTAGACAGATCCAAAACTTTCTTCCCATCTTTTGTGGTTTATTGGTACTTTTGTTGCTAGCAGAGATATACTGAGGTTATGAAAGAATTTAAGTTCTCTTGCTAGCAGAGATATATTGAGGTTATGAAATAATTTAAGTTCTCTTGGTAAGTGACATATATCAAGCCAGCTAGAGTCCAGATAACTTCAATAGCACTTTCAGCAGATCTTTGGAGTTCCTGAACTTTAGAACAAGTTGCACATGATCAACTTTCAGAATCAAATTCTTAATCTGTGACTACAGCAAGAAATGACTTGCTGATAACTTCAAACATTAAAAAATTTATCAGCCCTGGAACCAATAAAATTAGGAGGAAAAAAACAATGAAAATTAAAATGATGATTTATTAAGGCTGTTATCTGAGGATTGCATTCCTATGAGGAACTGTAATTAACAAAAGTGTTTTCCTCCTTGAATTAGAAATAGCCTGTAATGATTTTCAGAGGCTATTTTACTTACTGGATTTTTTTTTTGTTTGTTGCTTCACAAACTCAAGAAATTTGCATTTCTAGGTAAGAGGTTTATTAACTTCTTGTCATTACAGTATTAGCTTTTGTATGTAGCTTGCTGAAATTGACACCAAAATTTAATAAAAACCCCAGCTTTTACAAATATCCTTATATGGGTAGTGATGTACTTTAGTTAAAAGACTACTGGAGGTCAGGAAACTGGCTTCAGTCTCAGAGGTTTAGTTTGGAACCTCAAAAAAATTAATTCCCCTTTTGTTGCTGCTGTTTTTTCCTTCACAACTAATGTAATTTCTGCTAAAGCTGCACTGACTTCTTAGATTGTGCAATGCCTAATGCAGCAGCTGGAACCATTTGATACCATGACCCAATTATTATAGTAATAGTGAATTAATTATATAACTGTAATCTTAAAATTAGCTGAATACCTGATTCTTCATTTGTGATTGTCCCACCTGCCTCATGTTGGCTGCAGTTTGTGGCATTACAAAGTCCTCAAAACATTCTGTCAATATATTGTTCATCTATCTAATAATTTGAAAGTTTGAGTGGTATGTAGTGTGTGACAACTGAAATTGAGCTGAGAGTTCAGTGGCCCAAATCTCTAAAAATCGTGAGTCAGTGTAATGAAATTATGTCACATTGGAATGAAAGCCAGGCAGTGGTCTTCATTTACATACTGATACCATGAAGTAGAGGAAACCAAACAATCCTTTACCAGTGGATGAGTAGGAATAAGGTACCGGAGGAAGAGGCGAACCCAGCAAAAATGTTAAAATGTTAAGGAAGTAATACCACTTGGGAAGAACTAAGGAACTGGGCATAATCAAATAAAAAATAGCCGAGAAGAGAGAGGTCTGACTGCATGAATTGGAGAGATGTTGTGAAGAAGATATGAACTGATTTTTTTAAGTCAGCTAGAACAGAGAAGTAATAACGTGTATGAGACAAACAATGGTCAATTCAAGTTGTCTGTTCCCTGAACCTAGTACCATCTGAGCGATAGGAGAAGCTGCCAGCAAAAACAACAGAACTTGTTGTAGAGTAAGGTCTTGTGTGTGGCTCTCTGGATTTTGTTACTTTGTCCTCATTAGCCCAATGGAAAGTAACACAAGGAGCAAACCACAGCAAAGAAGAGGTAACTAAACTGTAAATCTACGATTTCATAAAAGGAAAAAAATTGTATCCTGACTACTCATGAATCAATTAGACTGGAAGTTACTCTATTTTTAGCCATTAAAACAGTTTGTCTGTAGCTCACAATCTAATGGAGCTCACCATCTAATGTTCACCATCTGAACCCAACACTGGGTTCAGAAAGCAACTGCATAAAGACTGATATTACTGATGTGTTTTTCTCAGGTTCTTGGCAAAGACAGAAGAACTTATTGTGCTATAGAAACTTGGATTCTTAGAGCCGTTAGGGAGCCTTGCTGGCACCTCAGTGATCAAACTGTTTCACTTTTAACTTTTCTGTAAAATAAGATGGAATCTCTTTGGCATAACAAAAAAACCCAAACAAACAAAAACAAAACAAAAAAAACCCCACACCAAAAAACACAAAACCAGCAAAAACCAGCTGCTGAGAGACACAGAATGGTGAATTAGGGCTTAGCTCTGAAGGATACCTGTTTCAATGGAATATTTCCTAGCAAGACTTACATAATTGGCTATTTTTCCCTCAAAGAAAGAAGTGTCAATTGAGAGACATTCACTGAAGGAAATGAGTGAATTGTAGGAAAAAATCATACAGGGAAAGTCATGGCTATTTATTTCTGATTGGGGCTTCAGATAGTGACTTTGAATCTGTGATTGCTGTAATGGTAAGAAGACAATAATGCAAAACCCACTTCATGGTGATAAGGGCTGTGAAGAAAATAATAAGTTTTTAACACACAGAAAAATACAATATGTCTTTTTCTGCTAATGAGTAATTTGCATGTTCAAGGTAAATAGTGTTACTGGAAGGGAGCAAGGCACCTGTTCAGTCTACATCTGTTGCCATTAAGATTCATGTTTCATAGATATTGTAGTCTTAATTTAGTCTTGGATACGTATAGCAGATAGTTTAGGCTGGAGAGAGCATGTTTCAAAGTGTGGTTTGATTTTTTTCTTCCTTTGCAGTGTTCATTTGAACGAGATTTCTGTTCACTGCCAACAACTTGCCTGTTAAACTAATAGAGCCCAGACTTTCTGCTTTGCAAGCGAATAGCTGGGTAGCATGAGCTATGCAATAGGAAGTGTGGATAGGGGATGAAGCAGAAGCATCAGAACAAGCATAGCACAGCTGGTGACAGAAAGCATGAGCACAGCAACTAAGTTGGCCTGAGGATGGTGGGAAGTCTCCAGCTGGAACAGCTTTGATGTTAAAAGGAGGTAACTGGAAAGTTTTGCACAATGTGAGCTTGATACACTTCAGGATCTATTGCAAAAGCTATTTCTGTGATGGTTTGAGTAGCTGTTCTGCCATGCTTTGCAGGAGGAAAGACAGGTTCTTCACTTGGAATTTTGATATGAGCTGGGATGAAGATTGTGGAGCAGTCTGGGTTTTCCACTGAGTTTTGGTTGGTGTTAAATTCCCCTCTCTTTCAGGACTTCATGCTTTTGAGGTGTTACAAGCAAGAGGTCTTGATTTAAGAACATATCATTTGCCCTAATAAAGAAAATATCTGAAAAGTTTGGGGCAGGTAGGTGGTGAACTAAGGGCTTTTAGTTTTCTTGACAGTTGCATTAATCCACTATTTATAAATAATTATGTTTTGCTGCTTGATAGTTATCATGTCTACCTGTGAGCCAAAGTATCTCTGGGTTACTCTGAAGTTATTCATATAGAGATTTAATTGATTAAGTGATTATCTCTTAAAAAATGTTTTTGTTCCTTTCAGAGTTTTCCACAGGTATATGCATGATCATAGAATTGCATAATGGTTGGAAAGGACCACATGGGTCATCTCTTCCAACCACCCTGCTCAGGCAGGGTTATTCTAGAGCACACAGCACAGGACTGTGTCCAGATATTTCTGGAATCTCTCCAGGGGAGAGCCCAGAACTGAACTCCAGATGTGCCTCACTAGGGCTGAGCAGAGAGGCAGGACCAGCTCAGGGAACTGACAACACACTCCAGGACACCGTTGGCACTCTTGGCCCCCAAGACACACTGCTGACTCATGGAGAACTTATTGTCCACCAGGACTCCCCAGGTCCTTCTCCACAGAACAGATGGTCTGCTGTGCACTAGAAAGCAATTTCAAATGCCAGAATTAGCAGCATTTAAAGCTTCCTAACGGTTAAGAGAGGTTTTCACATTTTTCTTGCAATTCCTGCCCTCTTCCCCTAAGTAGAAATGACTGCAGCTGATAGAGCCATGATATCAACCTAGTGAATTTGCTTTTGGACCTACAAGTAGAGCAAGGATAAGCTGTTGAATCCCAAACATATTCATACAGATGCCGATACCTGTTTTGGGGAAAAAAGTAAAGGCTTGAGACTTTCCTTCCCCTGCTCTCCTACCCTCACACCATGCCCTGCTCCCCCCCGGCCATGTATTCAGTGTTTGCTTCTAATATAATTTAGGTAGATCTGCACTGCAGTCATTCAGCAGTGGGGCCTGTTAATGCATACAAAGTGCCCTTCAGTGAAGTCTTTAAGATGTTTTCACTGTAGCATACAGCTGCACCAAAAACTAAAGAATTTTTTCCAGTTCACCTCTAGGGGAAAATTTAGCATCAGTCTCTTGACAAGACATGAAAGAAATAGAGAAAAAATTTTTTTTGGCCACACGTCAGACTACTTGCAGTAATTCTCATCATGACACTGAACTTTCCCTCTGTTGAAACTTCATTTTTCATGTATTAAAATGTACCTAGAGCATAGAGCTCTACTGAGCAGAAAATGTAGTTTGTATTTTGAAAATGTATTTTTCAAAAATAATGTTCAGATTAAGTGGGAAACAGCAACAAACATTTTTCCATCTCTTTTAGTTGTGAAAGAAAGCATTGCTTATTCTCATAAAATAACTTTTAGTTGAAACCTCAGTCTGTATGCACATCAATCAGTGTTAGGCATTTATAAAAGTAAGAGAGGAATTTGTTCTTCAGATATTAATTTGTTATTGAATCTAGGTAAATATGTACTGCTTTACAGATGAACATAGTCATGCAAAGATCTTACTGTCAGTGTCTCTCCTTGGTTTCCTGATTCATTGTGCTGTAAATTAAGCTGCATTTATCTGCATCAGAGCAAGGCTTGGGCTGTACAGGAGGCTGAACACAGATACAGCTCAGGAGATTTGGCATCCAGGTGTCTGAGGATATCAGTGGGCACACCATAAAATTGATCATTTTAAATGAGAGGTTCTGCCACAGTGAAAGGTAAATGTGCTGTAACTGGCGACTTCACTTTTGACTCCTATTAAAGTCTGATAATAAAAGCACAGTGATCTTGTTTTCTTATTTTGCTGTCCTGCAAACAATGGAGTGAATGTCAACAGAAAATATACGCTTTGTTGTCCCAGCCTTTGCACACCTTGCTGTGCAAACTGAAGTGGCTGAGTCTCCCTCATAGAGCTGTAGGCTGCTGTAAAATATCATCTTGCCCAGAAGATGCTGCTGGTTTTATTTCTGTTCTTTTATTTGGAAAATCCTCAATATTCCAGTGAGTCCTGGAAGAACTGACTTACAGGATTTTGTAATAGGGAAGAAGAGGAACACTTCTTCAAGACTCAACAAGAAGCTGAGTGTTTCTGAGAAACTTTTTTTAAAGCAGTAGCAACTGCTACTGTAAGGGGGTTTTTATGTGTCTCTAAGCCTCTGTAGCTAGCAAAGTGTTGATAAATTAAGGAGTAAGTGAAATAATTTTGTGATGTACCTGAGAAGTGGGTAAAACTTCTGTGCCAGGTTGAAGGCAGCTAAATTCCTTTGCCCTTGGTACAGCTCTGACAGCAGTGTGGAGGAATTGTGAGCAAGTTACTTCAGGACTTGAGTGAGTGAATTGGAGATAGGGAACAGTATTTTCTCTAGTTTGAGTGTGAGAGGGAGGGATTTCTCACTTCAGACATCCAGTGCAGCTCACCCTCACAAGTCAAGCCCAAGTGTGTTGAAGGGAAAAAGGTATTAAAACCACTCAAGATGGAGATAAATCATGCAGCTGAGGACTTCTACAGCTAATCTGACCCTTAGAAAGGCCATTGAAGAGAAACAGGCACTTTTGTAGGGCAATCCTGGAAAACACTTCAACCCTGGAGGAGTTCAAGGACAGGCTGGATGGAGCTCTGAACAACCTGATCTAGTGAAAGGTGTCCCCTTGCATATGGCGGGGGGGGTGGAGCGAGATGGTCTTTAAGGTCCAACCAAGTCAGTATATGAGTCTATCTGGAGGGCTTCCATAAAGCTGGAAGGTTTTGGTCCTACTATGCTGAGAGTTATAATGAGGCTCTCAGGATTAGGATATGGCTTGAATGTCCTTGGTTTATGCTGCAGTTATGCTTCTGAAAGTTGTCACTTACCACTTTCATGGTTTTAGCTGTAGTATTGATTTTTAAAAGAAATTTCAATTGTTCTACCTCCAAGAGGCAAACTCAGAAACAAATGCAATGGTGTTCTGAAGAGTTGCTGTTTTGTCTGAAAATGGAAGATTGCAAAAATCTGGTATGATAATAGGTGATAGGCGAGCCCCATTTTACTACAAGGAATATCTGATAAAATAGCTGCAGCTGGCCGTGAGACAGACCACAGTTAGGACAGATTTTTAATAACCAAATTTTTTCTTCCAGAAATGGCAGTGTGTGGAAGATGCTAGTGGAAAACTCAAGCTGCACAAGTGCAAGGGAATGGCAGACTTGGCAGCCGCAAGCAACGGCAAAGGCACCGCCAATGTTTTGCCCAAGTATTACAACAGGAATAGCGAAGACTGCAATTGCGAAGATAATGAATATAAACTGAGCCACATCAGACAAAGAAAGAAACTTTTCTCCAAGAAAAGTAAGCAAACCCACTGCATCTTCTGTCTCTGCCTTAGAAAGCTGTTGTTTGCTAACTCACGTAATTGTCTTGACAATCATAGGCATTGAATTTTGTTAGCAAATTTCCTGTGTATCTCAACTGTGAAACAGCATGTCTCATACTGGACAATCAGAGTTGAGAATATCTGGCCATAGAAAGAATGTTTCATTCTGGGGAATGCAGTGCCCATGCTGAAAAGGCAAATTGCACACAGTTACATAGGCTGTGGAACATGAACAGCAAATACTTCAATTTTCAGTAGCTCCTGCAATGCTTGCAGCTGTTACTTCAGTAATTTATTTTCAATAAGAATGTGTGTACTTTGTTATTGAAGCTGCTTGATTCTAACATCCTTTTCTTCTGCTCAGTCAGCAGAGACAAGTCTGACTTTTAATCAGATATAACAGCCAAAGGGGATGACTATTACTGGTTTCCTTGGCACAGATTAGTGCTTTACCAGAAAGCCCATTTTACTGACCCTGTTAAACCTTAGTTAGACTAAGATGTATATTTGAAGTATGTAGTTTAATTATAGATTAGAGGTAAATGGCAACACAGAATTATTAGTTACTTGTAATGTTTCTTTCATCTCACTCCAAAAATACAGAGCCTTACTTATTTAGCAGGGTAGTCTTTTTATATAATGGCACAAACTTGAAACACAGAGTTTAAATTTATTTTCTCCCATTATATTTGCCTTGCAAGCTGATTAGTAATTACTAAGCAAATTCTTAGTTGAAAAAAAATTACTGGTTCCATCAACTATACTTGATATTTAAATATGTGCTACAGCTGACAATCTGTAAAGAACACTAGAATTTGTACTTATTTAACTACTTTTTTTAAAGTCACAGAAGGAAGTTAAATCATGGGGAGTCAACAGCAGTAGATGGAAGGCACTAAATGAGGACAGGAAAACAAAATGTGGGCAACATAATGCTATCTGATAATAATTAATACTTACTTAAGTGCTTTACATTGTTGCTTTCTAAACATTAACTAATTTTCACAACATCCAAAGGAGGTGGTTAAGTGTATAATTAACTTTAGTTTATGTACACAGGAAGTTGAGATAGAAAAAAGTGAAACTTGCTCCCTCTCACAGAAGGATGAGAATGGTGCTTTTTTCCTCTGTGTTCTGTTCAGATGAGACAGAGTTTCTACTACACCCTTCAACTCATTAGCTTCACTGAACCTTAAGGTATAAACTTCAACAACATATAACAGGATTTTGACAATCACATTGCCTTGCTTGTGTCTAAAGTAAAGTATTCGCCTCCACAGATGCTCCATCCATCTTCCCACATCTGGGGTATGCTATACAGGGAAGAGGTTAGCTTGGACCTATTGACAGAGACCTTTTCATTGGTGTTGGCTATTCTTCTACATGCACTTATCTAATACATCACACAGCAAATGCAAGTGAGCCCAAAGCAGTACAAGTCAAGGTGACATACCAAGGTTTTTCAAAACAGCATATGTGGAAAGCTGTCTCACTGGACTATGGTTAGTTAAGAGGGTGGCCTGGATATTCATGATGAGTATTTGGGTTTTTATGACCTGTTCTGTGAGACTTGGGATAAAGTGTGGTCTGTGCTGGGTTGCATAATTGTTAGGGCACCTCTGGGGTCTTCTACTCAGAATTTGATGAGTGCATGAGATTACACTGCAGCCCTGCTTGAATACCAGTAAATGCTATTCATTAGTTTGAACAACTGCCAAACAAAATAGAAGTTTCTATTCTAAGAGTCACGTCCACATTAATGCAGTAGTTCCAAGGAGTAGCAAAGTTTTGAAGGAAATGCCCTGATCACTCATTTCTGTTGTGCACAACAGAGATAGATTTGCAAAAGGTCGTTTTATTGGATTCCAATCTGCACTCATTTGCAAAAATGCAGAATGGATGCCCTGCATCTAGGGTGCATCAAGCAAGTTGCAAACCCTAATAGGGTATAAGAATTGGTCTTTCAGAAAGATTGAAACCAGTTACATATAGTGAGAACAGATGGTGTAAAAGACCAGACAAAATTGCTGGTACAGAGGCTGGAACACCAGACATTTTGATAAAATAATTACTTGCTAGTGTAGGCATGGTTTAGAATGCATTTTCAGGTGCACCAGTGCATTTAGCAGGCAATGTTGTTTTCTAAATTGAGTAAAATCAGTTTCACAACAGGGCCGTGTTATATATGTGCCATTTGGACAATGTCAAAATACATTACTTGACTGCAAAGCACTTAAGTGGCAGAAACACATAAACATGAATATTTGGTATGTCTGGGTTTAGGTGTCTGGAATGTTTGCATTTTTGTCCTCTTTATTTCTTTAGTATACTCTTAATTTTTATAAGAAAGATCAAATAGAGCTTTGCAGTAGGTGGAAAGTTTAAAGTAAATAATGAGGTCTCAAAATCTTTGGCTGTGGTGTGGCCTATTATATTTTTCTTGTTGTGGATTTGATCTCTTCTTCCTGGGATGAGTGAGTGTAATTAAAGGAATTCTTAAGCTGCATGTAGGAAAATGATGATAGGCCACACCGAACAGTAAAGAAGCAGAAGTGTCTATAAAGAGGCTAGTGCATTTTTATTAAAATTTCCTTGACACTCTTACTTTTGAGGTGGTATCAATGCTGGATCAAAATGACATTTTTAATAACATTATTTTTTATTAAAAAGTAAAAGTCCATTACTTTACAGATAAGCAGCTGGCTTTCTTGGCTTAAACTCCTCTGGACTCCATTTTGCAACTCAACTTTGAGGTTGCAACTTCTTAGCAATACCATCTCTAAGACAGGTGTTTTCTGTAGTAGCTGAGGAAGAGAGGCATCAGATTCATAGAGCTTACCAAAGCCAGACTTCAGTAACCTGAAGAAGATATTTTTGGCCAAATATTTAACATCCCTGGATTGACTGTTTGTAGGCTCTGTACAGAGGTAAATAGATTGGAAAGTAAAACCTGGGGGAGGATTGACTAATAAGTAATTAAACATTAGTATTTATGCCTGCAGTCCACTTAGCAGATGGGAGTGCACAGTTCAAATGAATATTGATCTTATCAAATATTTTAACCACTTGAGAATTTGATATCAATCACAGTACTGAGTCAGCACTGTGGGTAGCATGTTAGGATAAAGCAATAGAAGTGGTCCTTTATGAGGTGCCTCACTCCACACCAATTAGTTAGTGCTAAGGCTGTGTTAGTTTGGCTGCAAAGGGAGGAGTGACCTGGCTCCTAGCTGTTCAGGGACATGTAGTTGATGGTTCCCTGGGGCTATCTACTGAGGTTCAGCCTTCTGGATTGGTATATTAGACTTGGAAGGAATATTAATTGTTAGTTGGCTGAGCTGAACAAGGTAAAATGAAGGAATGATTAAAGAAATGGGAGTTTATACTTTAAATCTCATTTGTAGGGTGTAGCTTTTTAGAACTTCTTCCTACCTTGGAAAAGATGGGAGTTTCTGTCTCATTCAAGCATTTCCTGAGTTGGTGCCTGAAATAGAGCTAGTCTTTTGTGGCTTTTTTTATCCCTTCAGCTGTGACTCACCTGGCTTAATATTAGTAGTAAACTTTGAACTACACATGGAAAATGTGCAAAGCCAGACAATCCAACTGGTATTCTGCTTTCTGTGTGTGGCACTGACAAAAATATCGTGCTTGGCCCAGTTCCAGGTGGGAGGAGATGTTTATTCTGCTTCCCACAGACTGCAAAACAACTTTTGAGACTGTGCAGTCTATCTGAAATTAATGTAAGGCTTATTGAAAAAAGTAATTGTGCATTAATGCCAGAGCGTGACAGTTAAGGTACTTTTTTGTCAGTTTTGTCCAGTTCCATATTTTTTTTTCCCTGCTTATTTTGCTGGAGAGATTATCCCATTGAAGAAGTTGACATTTCTGTGGAGTTTGGGATTGCAAGGATCGGTCTTCAATTTGGCACATTGGTTGAATTTTGCCTTTATTAGATTGCAGAGGGAAGTCCCATCTCATGAGGTGTGCTGTGTGTTTCAGTCTCTTTAAATGAGAAGTGACCAAAGGATCCAAGGGATTCAGTTGTTTCTAGTCATGTCTGTGGTAACTCCAAGCCTCATATACAGAGTAAAGCCTCGGGCTTCCCCAGGGCAGGGAGCACAAGAGAGTGTGTGGTACCAAAGTTGTACTTTTTTCCCTCAAAGAATGAGATGATTGTGCCTAATAAGTGACTCTCAGCAGTCAATGGTGGTGAGCAGGAAATATAGTCAGAGATGGACCCCATCATACAGGAGGGAAGTATAAATAGAGATTTAGATTTCATAACTATGTTCTCTTTTTGCCATTCCAGACCAAACAGAAGAGGAGTTCTGGGGATTTGAGTTGGAACAGAGAACTTTGGAAAATAGTATTAGGGAAAAGATCAATTAGAATCTCATATTGCACAGTGGCAATTCATAACAAATGTTTCATTTTGCTTTTGAGCTGCAAATGCAGAAGCAAAGTTTGCGGGAGTACATAGCACTGGAGGGTGGTGCTTCATGGAGAAGCTGGCTGTCTGGATTGCACATCCGGGAAAGAATTGCAAAGAAAAGAATTGCATTTGGATAAAAATAAAGATTCAAGTACTAATCCCTTCCCAAAAAAAAAAAAAAAAAAAAAAAAAAAATCAAGTATCTAGCCCTAGCCTTGAAGAATAGAACTGGGAAAAGGCTCAGGCTGAGCACTGGGAATACTAGGACAACTTCAAGAATGTGTTGCAGGAACCCTAGCAGGGAGGAATTGTATGGTGGAAGCAGAAAAGCACAGAGAACTGGTCCCTGAGGGTGACTGATGGCCTGGCTGTCATGACTGTCACGCTTAGTGCTTAAGGTCTGACTGCCATCCGGTGATTGTGGAGGAAGAGCAAGCATCCACTTGAACGAGCTATTTGTTCTCACTGATGCTGGAATAGAACTTTTCCCCCTTTGCCATTCTTTTGCCTTGTACCTGCCCTCTCATGCTCTGAGGTATCCGTCCACCCGCCCATACTTCCATCCATGCCAAAGTTAAGGAAGCAGCAGCTCAGAGGACAACTGCAACAAACACTGTCACCCAGTTAATTCCAAACAGCATAGTGTGGGCTGGGGTTTTTCCTTCCAAGAGCCACAAAGAAGAGCAAATTGTAACATGCTGTTTCTGCTGGTCTTCCACTTTTTCCATGCAGAATTCAAACCAAGCTATGCCCGGAATCGCTCTATCCGGTCTGTATCTGTTGAGCTGGATGGAGCTGCCTATCACCTGGCTTTAGAGGATGGATACCAGCCCATCTTACCAAGGAACATCACCAAGCGGCACAAGGTGCAGAGAGCTGTTTTCCACGAGGAGGAAGATAGAGACATGGGGGAATATAGTGGCACTGGTAGCATTTCAGAGTACACAGCCCCTAATCTGATCAAAGTGACTCACAGGTAAGTGCACATGGTAGGTCTTTAAAAGCTTTTGCTCCTTAAGTGACTGCTTTTTTCATAAATGTGTGGATTGAAGTGTGCTAAGCATGTTGTGTCCCTTTTGGATACCCCACCTAGCATCACTAAAATTCTTACTCCCATGTGTACAAGAGTCTTCAGTTTTGTTTTATTTTTGTCAGTGCAGAGGGGCATGAAGCTCCTGAAGAGCTGCAGCAATGCTTTTGTCTTCCGCATTGGGTAGAGACAGTAGCCACTCATCACTGCATATGTTTCCAGTGAGAACAAGCAAAACTGTTGGCAACAGGGGTGTTAAACCTACATGAAACCAGGAGAGGCCTTACTCCTGGAAATCAGCGTGCAGTGGGGTAACCTGGCCTGGCTGGAGACCAAAGGCCCTGACTGGAGCATGAACTGGTTTTGTGTCAGTGGTTGCTTTGTACAGAGTTTTCTGTAATCAGTGCTAGGAAAGGGAAATCTGTATTATGAATGAAGTTGGATGAACCAGGAGCATTGGGAAATGGAACATACTGAGAGAGAGGGAAGGCAATTGTATGACCACTCTAACAGCTAAAAATAATTTCCTTGGTGGTGAATCTAGGGACTGATTATGTCTCTTCAGCTGTACTTTAATTCATTTAGTCACCATTTCCATTTGCGAGTTATCAGAAAATCCACCAATCATTATTGATTACATGCTTTATATTGTTTAATGACTTGCTCATGTAAGCATGCAGGAGCCGGTAGCTGCTGTTGATATCTGTGTTTTCCATTTGACTTCTGTTCACAGAAGTGAATTAGAAACTCACCAATAGGAAATGTAGGCATCAGAGAATTGTGCTCTCTTACCCTGGCTCTCATGAATGTTCAGGACCCTAAAATCACTGTTGGTTTTTTTTTTTTCTTCTGGAGAAAAATTGAATTTACTTTTGCTGCCTTAGTGGGTGAATCCCAGATTTGTACAAGGAACTGTCAGGAAGACTGTACATTATTCATGAGCCTTCCCTAGTAGAAAAGAAGGCAATGGGACAACATACATGAGGTGATTTAAAGAAAGTAAAGAAGCACTGCAAATATTCAGCTTTAATTTAAACAAGCATTCAGAAATAGCTGTATGGTATTCAACCCCTAATAAACTTTCCAGTTAAATCTGTCAAGTGGCGATTTTTGCTTTCTTCTTTATCAAATAATTTTTAAAACTGGATTTCACTAGAAGTTAGTGAAACATAAAAATTTTATATTGTCAGAGGGTGTTTTGCTTTCAAAGTGAAGGAGATTTCCTTGAAAGATTTTATCACTTTTGTAGAAAATTATAAAACTTCCTTGCTTCTGGTTTATTTTTTTGTTTCTTCTACTTTCTTTATGGTGTAGTAATACATCTTATAAGGAAGTATTTTATCCTTGCTCCTACCCTTGCATCACTCAATTATGCATCAGGAAATTGCTTCTGAGTTATGCTTTCAATGCTTGCTACTTAGTAATGATTGTTTAGGCAGAAAGTCTAATGAATAAGCAAGAATTCTGTGTAGCACGATTTACACAGTGAAATGAAAGAGTCAACAGATTCTGCTTGATAGAAATACTCTCATTGAATTTTTCTATTTAAAAATTTCCATGGCAACTCAAACCCAGACTTCCTTCCTGGTTCAGAGCACAATTGTATTTTCTTGAATGAACACTGTTTTTTGAATTCTGCATGTCATTTTCAATCCATGGTCTCATTTGTCCTGGAGCTGTGTTATTAAGAGCAGCTGTTTACATTGGTCTGTGTGTGTTTGTGTGTATTCACTGTAATAAACACTGCTTACTTTTCCATGCCAAGGTGCTATATCCTGGAGAATGATACTGTTCAGTGTGACACAGATCTGTACAGGTCACTGCAAGCTTGGAAGGACCATAAACTTCATATTGACCATGAGGTCAGTGATGTTTTCAGTGTGTGTTTTTAGCGTTGTGGACTGATAGATCATGCTGACTATCTGTGTCTGCCTCTGGGTGTCTTTGTCTCTCTGTGAAACCTTCTGAATTTGCTGGCTGATTTCAGAATAGACATTTCAGAAATAATTAAATTATTACAAGTTTGTGAAGACAAGATGCTGAGTGGAGGAGAGAACTGCAACTGAAAGCACAGCTGAGAAATGTCATATGCCTTATGAGACAAGACTTAAAGCTAACCCCACCCTGGGAAAAAAATTAATCTGTATCTTTTTAACATCCTAGTAGTCCTGTTCCCCAGTGAAGAACCTCTCAAAACACAGTTCTTCAGTATCAAATATAAAGGCCCAAGGAAAAGCGAGCTTCATTAGTTTTGGTGCTTCTAGAATTAATTTCTTTCACTTGCTACTGCTTTTCTTGACCTTGCATGTTGGAATTGAATTTTTTCATAGGATGGTGTATATGGAGAACCTGGAGGTAATTTGCTCTATGAAATTTTCCAGTAAAACTATTAGACATTTTTGCCACTAATATTCAATAATATTAGCTCAAACCTTTCATGCATATTGTGTATGAAAGAAGGTCTATTGTGTATGAAAGAGGATCTAAGGACCAGGTAAGGATGGAACAAATGCCAAAGAGAAGCATAAGGGATGGACGTCCTGTAATCTCTTACCAAATTACATTGAATTCACAGTGAAGTTCTATGTAAGAACTTCCTGGTCCCCTTTTATTGTAAACATTGACACACAGGGCAGATATTTGAAAACTTACTAGTCTGCTAAGATTAAAAAGGGCAATTTTAATATTGCCATGGTCCTTTAATTGGTTTTTTTCAGAAAATATAGCCAATATGGAGTGTCAAAGGAAATGAGAACACATTTCTGTCCAGTTGTGTTCCTGATTTAGGATCACAGGGCTGGGTTCTTTGTCCATTTTCCTTGAACACTCTGTCCTGTCTCTGCTTCGACAGTCATGAGCTTCTACTATACCTATGGTCACTGATGGCTAATGGTAGTTCTGCAGAGACTGTTGTTCATATTAGATTACTTTAATTTTTCTTCTGTGTAGAGGCCTACAATATCTGAGTGGAAATGGGCCATGCTGTATGTAAGCCAGACTGAGCAAAAGCGGGAGTTTCATTTAGTGAAAAAAAGGCAGTTAAAAATAAACCTCATGGGTGGCACAATTAACTGCTGATTGCTATCCCATGTGTCCAGACACTGCTAAAGCCTGCTATGCAAAGTGACAGAACCTTGCTGCTTTGCTTTTTCAAAACCTCTGAAGAGGGGATTTCAGATCACTCCTGCCCCATCCCCTTCCCAGTGTCAGAACACACTGAAAGATAATGACTTTGTTTTCCTTCGAGCAGCCCTTCTCCCCTTGCAAATGTGCTGTAGAGCACTAGAGGCGAAATCACAGTGGATGTAGGAGTGTCTGTCTATCCCCCCCGCAGCACTGCATTCCACTTTCAGAGTCAGGAATCGGAGCAGGCAAATGGAACCAGCTTCCTCCTACTATAGTTTCCTTCTGGAAAGCTAGATAATTTGAAAATGCTTGTTAGTGGTGAGAGCCGCAGAAGGTAATGTAGAGGAAGGTCGTGGTGACAGTAGAATGAGTTTGAGAAGGTTAGAATAGCACTAAATCATGCTGTTTTTTTTTTTTTTTTATGCTGTCTTTGTGCCCCCCCCCCTTTTTTTTTTTTAGATTGAAACTTTGCAAAATAAAATAAAAAACCTGAGGGAGGTGAGAGGTCATCTAAAGAAGAAGCGACCTGAAGCGTGTGATTGTAACAAGCTAAGGTATTTTTTTGTATACTGACAAATAATTATTTGTAGTGTGCAACTGTAACTGATTTATGTCCTCACAGGAGAGATCAGGATCTGGTTTGTTCAGAGGTTGCTTGCTGACTGTACTCCTGTATACACATTCAGGGGAAGTACAAGGCCCACTGTCTGCAGGCAGGAGTTTAACTGGACAGTCGAGCTCTTCAAATAAGCACAACAGAAAATCTTCCAAAATCAAAAGGTAACCCAAACAGAATTTGCCCTGAGAAACTGTTCAGAAAGAGACCCAGGAGCACCTTCCCCTGCTCATGGTGATGACAGAGCTGGCTCTGAGGCTGCTGAGAGCCAGTTATCACTGTGAGTACTGCAGCCACAGTGGCAGAATATATGAGTATCACCAAAAAAAAGCAAACTGTGTCTGAATGGAGTCAAAACTCCAAGGCAGCCATGCTTAAGCTGCGGCTAAAGCACCGGTGAGAGAATGTGGATAAAACTTATTTATCTTACTGGTGGCACAGAATGCCTTTTCTAAGGTAATGTTTAAAACCTCGGAGATGCAACATACTCTACAGAAACGATGTTTATAATTGTTGTGGAGTGTGGATGTGGCCTGCGGGGATCCTGCAACATAGTTTCAGCAGCACATCCACTAAAATATGGAGATCATAAATTTCTTGGTTTACAGGGGCCCATGTCAAAAACTGCTTGAGATGTATCATTCTAGATGGTAAACAGACAGAAAGTTTATATCCACTGCTTTCAAAACTGATTAACTGAGTTTACATAAACTGAATTTATTTAATATGTGCTGTAAAGATGAAGTTGTTTTTGGTGAATGTTTTATAGAAAATGTAAAAAAAGGTTTATTTTCACACTGATATAGGGTACACTTATATTTGTGCATAGCATTATTGAGATTACTAATCCCACTGAAATAAAAAATTAATCATCTGAGTTACATATAGTCAAGTGTTTGCATTGCAATTGCTTTAACATTTAGAATTAGTTGATGCCCAGCATCTGTGCGAGATGAAAGAATTTCCTGAAGAAGATAGTTCTTAAATAATCTTACTTTGTTAACTTGTTATACTGATTAAACTTATGAAAGCTCCCAAAAGTTTTAAGAATTTAAAATATTTGTTTTGAAGGAGATTTTAATCTGGCAACTAATTGAATTCAGATCTACTGTTTAGAAAACATTTATTAAACTAAATTTGTGTTTGCTGATTTGTGTATGTAGTAACTTTATAAATAAGAAAATATTGCCAGTGACTGAGGCTTTTCTTTTAACTTTGGTAATTCCACAGAAAGGAAATTTCTGCAAAATACTGCAAGAGTTTCTGGAGAGGCAAAGCAGTAGTAATTTAGTGAGAATCTGTATGTCTGCTTAAACTCAGCATATCTCTGAATATATTAGACACTGCTCTTGCTGGGACAGTTCAATCTATCTAGTTCAAGTTTTCCTGGAACTTCGAGCTAGTAATAATGGAGGACACCCCCACACCCCCTCCCAGCCCTACAAAGTACAAGCTAGTATTGAAATTTTTGAATTCAGAAGGAAAATGACAGGAGAATAGTATAAACTCGTCATTATTAGAAAAAGTTAGAAAATACTCCATTGCAGAAATGTAATTTAATTACAAATCTATTCTATCTGCCTCATGCAGGGAAACAACCAGTTAAAAATAAAATAATAGTAAATTGTAGCTTGACATGGATATACATTGCATCGCAGTGTTAGCACACCAAGTGTCACTGTGGACAAAGGACCTGAGGAAACAGAGACTCAGTGAGGCTGGGAAGTGCCTGATCCAGTTGAGCAAGGTTGCCTTTATTCATCACATACACTAATAAATTGGAGAAGTGACACTGGATTAAATCTTCAAATCCAGTCTTATAATGTGATCAGAAAAGGGGCAGCTGTCTTGCTGTTGTTCACCAGCAATGCTGTTTATATTTTCCAGCTACCATTCAAAACACAAGAGCAAACTGAGACACAAAGGATCCAGTCTTCATCCTTTCAAGTAAGTGAAGGCCTGTTCCTTTGAGAGAGGATGTGCAAAATGTAATGTTAATATTACATTAACTGGTACACACCAGTTACACAGTAGGCGACAGTAGTAGTATTCAATTTATCCTGTATTAAAAAGCATAAACAGAGACACCTGGGCAAGGAACTAAGCCCATATCAAAATGCTTGTAAATTCTAAGATAAAGTCTCTGCTTTTGAAAAAAACACATTGCAAACCTCAGGCCTACAAGCCCCTTTGGCTGCTTTTTTTCCACCGTGCTATGGAATTGCAGAGTCATCTCCATTTTTATGAAACACCATTTAATTAAAAATGTGGATTCTTTCCCTCTGAGTGGCTTATTTTATTAGCTACTTTGGAGTGTTTTAGCTGTGTTCAAGTCTAACAGAGTTTGCATGACCCTAATATTTCATGTGTGCAGGAAAACCCTACAGGAGAAAGACAGGCTGTGGCTGCTGCGAGAGCAGAGACGGAAGAAGAAACTGCGAAAATTGCTTAAGAGAATTAAAAATAATGACACGTGCAGCATGCCTGGTCTGACCTGCTTCACCCACGACAACCAGCACTGGCAAACTGCTCCCCTGTGGACACGTAAGAATACTGTAAACTAAGTAACAGATTGGCAAATTTTGACTAGACCGGGCTGGGATGTTGGGTTGGTAGTTGTTACTGGTTTTATTAGCTCTGTAACCAAAGCCATACAGTCTTCTCTATAGTAAATAATCTGTTTTCAGTGTTGTAATTATTCCTGCATGAAAGGCAAGGAGGTACAACCAACTGCAAATAAGCTACAGATACTGAATACTGTACACTGATCAGCAAGGTATCTCACCATCTGGAATGTTTCACAATCAAAAAAAGGAACTAGACAAGATGTTACCATAATTAGTCATGTCATGTGGATTATGTATGCACAGAACAAGAAGCTGATGCTGGAAGGCATTCTCTGCTTTAGAGCTCAGGAGCGAGAATGAGAGTAACTCTCTATGAATAAAGTAATACCATAAACAAAAAGTAATTAGCAGTGCTAAAGACAGAAGCATATAGCTTATTGTCTTTATAACTCTTCAATTTGCAGTGGGCCCTTTCTGTGCCTGTACCAGTGCCAACAACAACACGTACTGGTGTTTGAGGACAATCAACGAGACCCACAACTTCCTGTTCTGTGAATTTGCTACTGGATTTTTGGAGTATTTTGATCTCAATACTGATCCATATCAGGTATCTGATCATAGACCTTGAGCTCACAGCTCAAGAAATACATCATTGTTACTTGTCAACAATAAATTGAAATCACACAGTATTGCTGCAGGATGAAGTTAATGCCTTTATCATTTAAACTAGTATAACATAGCTCTTCTTACAAATAAACAAGCTGTATTCCAAAAGTTACCAAATTACAGAGCAATAGTTACTAATAAGAACCTCCTGTTTATTGCAGCTAATTAATGCAGTGAATACACTTGACAGAGATGTTCTTAATCAACTGCATGTCCAGCTCATGGAACTCAGAAGTTGCAGAGGGTATAAGCAATGCAATCCAAGAACCAGGAACATGGATCTTGGTAAGTGCCTCTTCTATTGCGCTCCAAAGAACCCCAAAGTACCCTTAACATTATAAAACTTGAATCAGTCAAAAGGATTTTAGGATTTTTTTACACTAGTTATATCCTGCTGAGGGTGATAGCTGCATTCTCAGATTTTTGTACATGTTCAGTTTGTGTTATGTCATGTTTTTAAGATGAAAAATTACCCTTAGCATAGTGATAAATATTGCTGAGATGCAGAAGACAAAGAAGGAACAATACTTATGAAAAGGGAGAGTATACCCTAACAGCCACTATGAAACTCACAGACCTGAACACAGGTCAGTTCAGGTGGGAAGGGACTTCCGGAGTTCTGCACCAAACTTCTGCTCAGTGCAGGATCAGATGTGAGGGCATACTAGGTTACTCAAGGCATCAAGAAATTTGTTAAATTCCTGAGTCTTTATTTTTTCTCATACAGGCAATTGGTAGTAACATTGTTAATTTTTCTTCACCTAGGACTTAAAGATGGAAGCTACGAGCAGTACAGGTACATTTTAAAAAAAGTTACATTATTATTCTGAAGTACTACCTTCATACTTAAAGAGCAAGTGTGGGATTGGGAACCACATGGAAATGCCTGGCTTGAAAGGGCGTTTGAAAGACCTTTCTACCCCACTTGCTTTGAAACATTGGAGCTATTTGTTTCAGTGTTACACTATGTTCTGCTCTTAGTAGTCAAAATTCTGGCTGAATTCTTCTTCATCATCTTTCACATTGTGGTACTGGTTGTTTTCTTGGTGATGGTTAACTTTTTTTCTCCTTTTGCTCCTTGAAAAATAGGCAATTTCAGCGCCGAAAATGGCCAGATGTGAAGAGACCATCATCTGCCAAGTCACTGTGAGTTGGGAGCAATTCACCAAAAGCATTAGCTTTTACTTAACTTTTCCCTTCTCTTTTTGTATGCACCACTTTTTTTAAATCATCATCTAGTCTCACAGAATCCTCTAAATTATGCAAGAAATACAATACTGCCATCATTACTGACAACTACTGCTGCACAAAACCTCCTGGTACATGTTTTTTAGGAATCTTGGGGCATTAAAGTCAAAGCAATTTCAAACAAGTAAACGGTAGATGCTCAGTTAAGAAACCAGTTATGGTCAATTGCCAATAAAAATTAAAGACCAGTACATTGGTTTTGTTTAAACTTAAACTAGTAGTACCTACCTAGTGGTTTTGCACACAATCCAGAAAGAACAAAATTGACTGTAATTTCTCACAAGTAGTGAGGCAGCATCATATATTTTCTTGCTCTTTATCCAACTACAGCCTTTGTGCTGTGAGCAGAAAAAGGAATTTAAAACAGAAAGTAGACTACAAGACAGATTTGTGTCTAAAACTACTTTTTTACTTACTGAGCTGTCTTTTAAAATGTGGTGACAATCTGGCAGTTCTCAAACTGCCAGAGCTCAAAGGTGAGGTAGAAATTTAAGTTTATTAAAAAGTTACTGTTGCGTGTTGCTGTCTCTGAATCTCCCCTTAAAAAGAAGGCAGATACTTCAATTCATTAAAAATCATTAAGTGCTCTCGAACTGTGCAGTGGAAAACACAGGTGCAAGTCCCTTCCTAGGCACAGTCTGGTCTTCTTGCCCAAGGGGAGTTGCTCATATAATGCTGTGGTTTTATTTCTAATTTAAGAGATCTGAGACTGGCTTTAGAATCAAAATGAAGGTTGAATTAACAAGCTTTGTACAGGCTGAAGTTTCAAACACTGTTGAATTGTTTCTGTCATACCTGCTATACTTTTATTGGTGGTTCACAGTGTTTCCAATGTTTTTTACTGCATAGAACCATTAAAAACACCTTTCTTACTATTCTACTTTCTTACTATTCTATTAGAATGTTATACACTAAACTGCATTTGTTTTATTTTAAAGAGGACAACTGTGGGAAGGCTGGGAAGGTTAATCTCCCCCAGCTGCTGCACCTCCATGAGAATACAAATGAGGCAGGACTTGAATCCATGTACCGACTGAATGAATTATAACATTCACCTGAAGGACTGGCTAAGCTTTGAGGCTGAAATAGATAGACTGTTTGCACTGGTGAGTGAGATGAATAGAAGCAGTGAAATTATGGGAAATGCTGTCAGAAATACAGATCTCTGAAATCCACTGTTGTACCTGCTTTTTTGCTTTGTATTATACCTCACCTACTTCACAAGGCATTTCACTTCAAGAAGACACAACTAATTCAGGAATCAACTGATTCAGGAATTAACAGAGAAGGAAACTTAGCCACATCCCAAAGAGGACTGCCCCTGCAGTGGCAGTGTTTACACAGACAGCTGACAGGACCTTAAAACAATTTCCCATTCACCTGTATCTTTAGTTGTCGTGAGAAAAACTTCAATACCAAGTACAACCCTAAAGCAAGATTTAGAAGACAAAGGTGCTTTTGCTTATCACTGGACTAAAGGTAATGGTTCAAGAGAACTTTGAAAATATTCAGGAACTGAAGTCAGCAGCACCAAGTGTTCTCAACACCAGTTTCCTCTGAGGATACATTTTAGTTCCATGTCTTCTTGTTCATTGTATTGTCACATCTGTGAAGATTAGAGAAAATTTTGACTCACAGGATGCCAGATTTTTGGAGGGATTGTGTAAATATTGATCAGTGTACTCTTTGAAAATAAATTCCTTCAGGTTGTAAAGAAATTTGTTAATAAAAAGGAGTGTAACGCCCACACGCCATTTCTCAAAATGCTAAGTCAGAATTTATTCATTTTTAAAGGTACTGAAAAATTTCAGTAAATGTACATCTTAAATTTTAACAAAATCAGATTTGTATGAAGGTTTTTTATGTGGTAATATTATGCTGTACATTCAAAACCAGAACAGTTCCTTTGAGAAAGTAGTGTTTGCTTAGCAGTGTAACTTTTACATTTATTTTTAAAAAAGGCAGCTCTGAGAGTTCAGTACTTGTAGTTAATAATCTAGTTATACTTTAGTCTGCAGAAAAGGAAAATGACAGTTACTGTTCTAAGGTTGTCAGAGGGGGAAAAACCCTGTAATTTTATTAAGAAAGCACAGTGTACTGAATTACTTGAGTAGTTTCGTAAGAACATCATTACATACGTTGTAGTACAGGCACTAGTGGTGAGATATGTATTTACCATTTGTTTCATGTTACTTTGCTACCTGTGTTTAAGGGCAAATGCCTGAGGGCGCTCATGGGACAGACTCGACCAATTGTGGCCTTCGCTCCTAACAAAGAGGTATTTTTTTCAAAATGCAAACTTAACTTGCCCTTGTAGAAATGCAGTGTAAAAATACAGCATGGAAATTATTTTGAAACCCTTCCTGGTTTTGCAGTTCGGAAAATCAAGTGGAATTATATCCAGGCATGTAGATCCCTGGTACCAAAACCCCATATTCAAAAAATGTACTTGAATTTATGAATGAGGAAAAAAGCCCCACTCAAAAAGCAGTAGTGGAATCTTTATATATGCTAAGATTGGGTTTGAGTATTTGTATGACATGTGGCAAGTCACAGCCACTAGCCAAAGCTTTCTTTAATTATGCAAGTAAAATCTGAATGTCTATCATAATCTAGCCATGTATTTTCATTAGACTTGTTTAAAATTTCGTGGATTATCAGAAAAATCTACTAGATTATGAGATCCTGGATCCATACAAGTAAGTAGAAAAAAACCCTTAAGTTCCCCAAAACCCCCACATTTTTGCTGCTTTCCAGAGAAAAGTTTTAGCTATCTGCCATTCCCCGTGTGCACACAGAAAGAATATGGGGTTAGATTTTTTAAAACTTTGCACACCCTTGTGTGTTTAGCTCATAGTCTGGCTGGTGAGGTTGTGACTGTTAAAATACTGCAGGGCCAGTGCACCTATAACTTACTTGTCAGTCAGAAGGTTGAAAAGTTATCTTGTCCCTTTATAGAAAATAGTGAGCTGTGAGACATGTATGTGACACAAGAAGCAGCTGGTATTTAATGAAAGGTACGTTGTTGCCAAGCTTGGGGAAAGATACCACCTCTTCTCCTTTCAGCTCTTCTAGCGCTTGCTCTTTCAGTTGAAAAAGACATAAATTCTAGTTGGTGTCCGTGCTAAATGTGTGTCTCATAAGTGAAAGGTCTCAGTGTCACTCCCTCAACTTTTACAGCCAACTACGATAAAATCTAAATCATTCTTTAAACACAGTTTTCATCAGTGATAGCAGGGAATTTTCTCTGGCCTGTACTGGATAATCACCCTTAAAGTATTAGCTCATAGAGTGTCACCAAGTTCTGATTTTAAATAGAAACCTTTATTTACATTATTATTAACATCCAAGCACAAAAACCAGAAGGGCAGTAACACCTTACAACTATCCCTTTTATAAATCAGTCCCCATGATTTCTCTGTTTTGCAAAATAAAGATACAGATATTTCAAGCAATACACGTAATGTAAACTATGCTTAGATGCAATTCTCAATACCGTATGCCTTCTCCTGAGAATTTTTTAGAATATTGCTCTCAGAATTACATGGTTTCACACTTCTTGTATCATTCCGTCATCTGGTCTGCACATAAATTCTATAATAAAAGGTGTGCTAACTGGTGCAACATTCAAGTAAGTTTTGTCTTGTGACAGAAATGTGGTCTGAATTTCTCACTTTAGAAGCAGTATTTTAGGCCAAGGAAAAAAGTGCACTACACACAACTTTAAGAAACACATGTGATAAGAAGGTAACAGAGACATAGCAAAACAATGCTCATTTATGCAGCAGTGATCAGAGGTTGCTAATTCATCTCTTACTGCTGAATAATGTTATGTGGGTTTTATTTAAAAAAACATTCACAAAAATCTACTGCTATAGGACCAAAGCAAAATTGATGGTGGTAACTAAATGTCAACTGATTTCAAACTAGATGTATTATTTAGTGCTGCCACAAGCCGTCAATGCATTTAAACTAAAAATCTTTTAATTCAGGGAAAAAAAAAAAAAAAAAAAAAAAAAAAAAAAAAAAAAGTAGGTCGTGGAAAGCTCCAGCATGCTAAAGATATGAGAAAAGGATGAGCTTTTATAATGTCAGTCAGGTAGGTACCAGTTATACATAGATGTATAAAGAGAAGTACTAATTTAAAAAAAAATTGTACTGCAAGATGTATATAATAGTATATAGTCTAAGAGCTCACCTAATGAAAGCAACCAGTGTTTGTAGTTTCCATCAGTATAATGAACAACTACAAAATATAAATACTGTTCTATTCTGATTTGATATAAAATGCAAGGGATTGCCTTTCACCCTCAGTAAGCAGCACTTACTCAACAAATAGATATGATCCAAGAAATGAAAATATAGAAGTTAATTAGGCTTTTAAAAGTTTTGCATTATAAACACACAGTAATTGGACTGAAAATTCCAAGTAAGTGCTGTGATAATCTATATACTCAGTACTAAAGGAAGAGACAGGGTTACATGAAGTAGATCGACTGAATCTACATTCCCTTTGAAACACAGCTGGCTAGGCACTAAGGATGAATTTATGAGAATATTTCTGTTGAAACTTACTTCTATTAAAATGGAAGATCACTGAATATTCTGAACAATAAAACCCCATCTTGCTAACAGTACAAAGAATAAGCAAAAAAGAACACAGATCAGGGGATTTATGGTTTCTTTTACTCACTTGGGAGAAATCAGTTTTCCATTGCACAATGAACAACAGAACAGAAGCACTACACATCTTAAACATTTCTGGGTAATTCCTTAGGAAGGTTTAGAGGTTTAATTCCTTGTAACTGCAAGAAGTGCAAAGGGATCTTCATTTCAAGCACCCGAAATGGAGGGGGAAGAAACCCCCATGCTATCAGCAAATAATATGTAACCACACTTAAATACTGCTATGACAAAAATCTGCTTAGAAAATACATTCGTTACTATTAGAATAATCCAATGAGGTGTAGACATTTGGTTAAAATGTGGCTTAATATCCTTAAAGATTTCTGGATGTTACATAACAGCAAGTATTTTGCAACAGACACACATTTTCAAAGAACATTTAGAATTCATTAAAATTGACTAAAAAGACACAATCCAGATTCATCAACTGAAAAGGCAACCTATAACAGACAGACATGTCTGTCCTGAGAAGTTGTAAGATCTTACAATGCAGAGCCTTCGTGTCAAACTGCCTTCGGTAAAAAGAAATGTAACAAAAGTGCTCACAGGTGGAGAAGTATTGAACAACTGATCTCTTTTTTATAAAAATCTCTATGTTAAACATGTAAAAATAAATGAAGTGTTGAAGACCAGAGAAGAGAAATATGTGGGCCAAAGTCACCCATCTTCAAAGTCCTTAAATGTAATAAAAAAATAAAAAAAAAAAATTTGGACCTCAACTACACTCTGTATCCAGAAATCAATTTTGTTAAACATTTAGCTTCACAAACTCTGCAAAAATGAGTTAGTGACCTACAAAAGTCATATATATAATACATTATTTTAAAGAGCATATTTACAAAATTTATTCACAAAAAAGACTGAAAAATTCTGATGCTGGCTGCAGTGTCTTGCCTTGAGTTTTCTGAAGCTTTTTTCAAAAAAAGACAAAATATTATTGCTCTAATTTCCATACACAGAAAACATTACATTATGCAGTCCTTTCAAATAATTCTTAAGAGACTGTGTTTGTGAAGGAATATGAGTAAACTCTACCTTCCTATTATGTCCTTATCAAAGACATTGCATTAATCCATTATATAGTCCTCTATAAAGTGCACTCAGCTGCACAGCAATATGTAAATATTAGTCACAATTGTGTTTAAATTATTTAAATTGTTTATCCTCTCTTTTCAACCCTTGGCTTCAACAGACAGGATTTTGGACTAGCATGTGCCAATTACTTTTGCACTTCTATTTTGCTTGGGAAATCCTCGACTCTTGGGATAAGAGACTAAAAGCAGGATTCATATAAAAGAGTCAAGGCTAAGAACTACATTCTCTGTCAGATACTGTTATTAGAGAAAGCAGGAAATTCTTACCACTGTAAGTTCTCCAGGCACTTTAGCCTGCCTGGGCTAAAGGGCTTTGGATAGCTACAGTAAACAGATAAGGTATTCCAGGAATTTACCCATCAAATCTGTTAAAATGGCATTACCAAATTCACATTCCTAGAGGAAGCGTGCCAAAAATACAAATGACCTTTTTTTGTACCCCACATCATGCAGTAATTCATAGGCTACTTCTACTAAAGTATTTTTGTTGGGTAGGGGGTGTTTTGGTTTGTTGTAGTCTGTCTGAGGAAATTTATCACTGGTTTCTGTTAAGCCCAGTATGACTTGCCATGAAGAATGTGTCACTTTCCTTTCTAACACTAGTGCATTCAGCCATTCTTGTTTGAAGATGTGGTTGTAGATGTCAGCAGTATTTCTGTTAAAGAAAAGATACTTTCATCAGAGAACACAGCTTTGCTGAAATAAATGGTTTGTGTACTGCATTTGGAAGACGGAACTACTGCAATCAATGCCTAGAAGCAGAAGAATAGCTTTTTAGTGCTCCATTTTGAAAATAAATTTCTAGAAAATAAATGCTATCCTAGAATTTTCTAAACATACTATTTTGGTATATTTATGTCATGGAGATTTGGAAAATCTGACATTTCACCTTTGTATTCTCCTCTTTATAAAAGGCATTTGTTGTATCAAAGTCCTCCAAAACCTTACTTAGCCCCAGAAGTCCGCATTATTCTGACTACTTTC